TTGACACTTCACTGCGCACCGCGTGCTATACACCGTTGAACCGCGGCATCAGTGAACAAAATCGATTTCCCCGCTTTCATTATGGAGGACAAAAAACACACCTCAGTAATCCGACATTGGCTCGTCCATCCAGATAATGGCGCTAACGTGTTTCAGTCGATGGATAATTGATTAAGCATGTTAAGCTTGCTTGTTCCAGGAACTCATCCTCTGAAAGTGAAGTTTGTTTTCGCAAAATGTTTGAGGAAGTTTGGCGGGTGGTGGTATGTGGCGTATGTTGGAAAGACAATTCATCAATTATTGTCTGACCACAACCCGGACGTGCCGTGTGTAAACAAAGCTGGAATGGAATTCACTTTTTTTCGCCAGACTATGATACCAACTCAGGGGAGTCAAATTGAAACTCAAGGTCACTTCAAAAATACCAATTAGTCTGGGGATGTTTTCTGGAGAATTAAACCAACAAACAAATAAAAGAAATATTCGCTATAGTATGAGCAAATATTTACTAAATAAAGGCATGACAGTTGCCTTACCAGCATGTCTTAGGGGCGCCCCCAGCAGTAACCTCTCTGTATCAGCCGATCAGCTTTTATGTAAGGCCTTTCAAAGTTTCAAGAATGAGCCCTAATTGTGTCATCATCGCGCTGGGAAAAAAATATATACGGTCCAAGCATTCTTTTAAAATAATTTCAATTTTTGGAATATTTCATAAAAATTATCTGCAAGTATAAACGAAATTCAGCCCTGGACACCTATTAAAATAATGGACCACTCAAATTGGGTATGAGTGATTCCGTGAGTTACCACAGCTGAACCAGTTAAAACTTGCAATTTTGTCATTATTGTTCCCATTGGGCCATAATGATTGAAACACTATAATGAATTGCCTTTTCCCAGACCGTGTATGGGAAAACAAATTGAGAATTTTATGATAGAACACTAGTTGAGCCGGGCCGAAAGACAGTCGGTAAAGAAGGAAATTTATATATATAAATACGTTTGGTTTTTTTAAAGGAAATTTATATATATAATTAAGTTTGTCTGTTTCCAGAGTCATGTCCAGGGTAAGATTTACCTTTCATGAAACGGGTGGGCTGATATGAAGGGGGGGGGGGCTTAGGGATCCCCATGCCCGAGAAATTTTGAAATCTACGATGCATTCTCCTGAGGCCTATTTTTTTAAAATAATTTTAGCATTTTCATTTATAATTTTTGCCCCCAGTTTACTAGTATCATTAGCTAGAGGTCCCCAGCCCCCGCCCCCGCCCCCCCCCCCCGGACCAACTAGATCCGCCATTTACGTCATAACAGTTTTATCAAAAAGCTCCCTAAAACCAGAACTCCTCCTTAAAGCACATACCTGTCCTATCCAAGTTAATCTGTCAAATAAATTTCAAAATCGCCAAAGAAAAAGAATTATAAGTCACTCTCATTGGTTACGTTGTGTCTCCGTTCCTCAGCAACAATAAGGTAGCAAAAACAGCCAAAACTTTTCAGAAGGGTCACATTTTGTGCAGTTACACTTCAAATCGGCTCACAGTTTTCCTTGACAAAAAAATATTAAAACCAAACGGCAGTAATTCCTTTAATTCGCCTCGTTACGCACAATACCGTGCGTTCTATTGTCGCACGGGGGCGCTATTACATCTAGTTAGACCGTTATCACTGTACACACACGAGGCCCCCTTCAACAGCAAAACTGAGCATTGTGCAAACTTTTGTCTCACTCTGCCTGAACAATTGCTGGCACTTCGCCATTGAATGGGGACTTCGTGATAGATTGCAGACCCGGTGGCACATGAAAATCCGACTCCTATGAAAATCGGACCGCTTTTCCCTATTATTGGTTAATCCCTCTCACGTGACCGGTCACTTTCCTAATTACCATACTTACGCATGCGCGGTATTACCAATGAGTCCGAATTTCATAGAAACGTAAATTCATGCTACACCTGTTTTGGGATATAGTGGGCCGGTATAAGGTCGGGAAAAGTATTGTATAGGAAGTTATTTTGGCCAACCAACCAGTTTGGTTTAACAGACTTTGTATCACCCCATGGCGGAGCCTGGCGAGCGGAGCGCGACACCCTTGTGGTGTGTGATTTTTTTTGTTTAAAACACATTTTTGTTTTAATCACGTTGGGGAGGGGGAGCATGGTCTGCCCCGCCCCCCCCCGGATCTGCTGGTGCCCGAGGGTATGTTTCAGAATGGATCACAGGCGGAAGTCTCCTTCAGTCCGCATTTTCCTCATTATTTCCCTTCCACCAAGTTTCAAAGAACAAAAACACAAAGCAATATTAATTTGAAACATTTTATGATTGCTTTGTATACCCATAATTGGTGGATATCTTGTTTTTTTACATTAATAGTGCTAGAACGCAGCAGTAACCTAGGCCTAGTGGCCACGTGGTAGCAAAGTTTCAATGTACCGCTTTTCTCACGGCGAACGTTTTGAACTATTCCTATTGGCTACACGTTTCAGTTTACTTTTGTTACGTCATCTTCATTGGCCCCGTGCCAATCAAAACCAGTGACGTAACAGTGGACAAAATGCGCGTACGCGATTGTATACTGTGAGGATTTTGTAGTTTGTTTATAATTTTGATTATAATGAAAACAAGTGGACGTGTATCATGCTCGATCGAAAACTTCCAAAGTAAAATTACCTGGTGGTATTTCAAAAACTCCCGTACCCGTATGATCCCTGAAACGGACGGTCGTATGAATTTGGAGTGAACGGAATATGGAAACATCATGGATTCGTAGGTAAATTATTATGTATGAATATGGAGCAAGGAACTTTGGATAACACAAAATTACCGTATATATAGAAACTAAAGATTGTTCAACCCTCTGTATATACTTGTAAAGATCGTACAAAATAAAGCAGAACTGCGGAGAGCACTGAAGATAAGTATATAGGATGAAACTTAAGTTAAAGCAGTGCTCACCAGGAATATTGGAGCTGAATTTTCGGCCTGACTAGGCCTTCATCGGAGCTGGGAGTTGGCCCGATGAAGTCAGGCCGAAAATTCAGGTCCGATATTCCTGGTGAGCACTGCTTTAACTTATTTTCATCTATTATACTTGTACTGTAAAGATGATGCATTTCTCTTCTAATGATGTGAGATTCGTTTTCGTTATTAGATATGATAGATATCAAGTCATTGTATTTCGATGTGTTTTTCCGCATATGGCATTGTGATCTTATAGCCTGTACAACAGTCGCATATATTTTTATCCACAAGTCAGTACGAAATCAGCCGTCATCCCACAACCAAAGACAGGTTTCTGGTCTAACGTTTTCACAATTTGTATGGGTAGGCCTATGAAACAATAATTAAAAAAAAAAATGCACGTATATAGCCTATAATAGGGGGGGGGGATCAGTTCTGTTTCACAACTCACAGGCCTAAATTTTCTGCTGCATGATATTCCAATTTCTCCTCAAAATGTCCAGAATTCTTCGGGTAGAACCACCACAAATCGTTCTGTACATGCTCGTTATTGCTTGCTGCGTTCACACTGATGAAGAAACATGCCCTGCAGTCTCCAATGGATATGCTGGAGATGTCTGGAGCACTAACAGGTAGGCACGAATTAATATCCAAGCCTAAACGGGTGATCTGTTACACGGTGCACACTGGAGACATGTGCACAATAGGAAACAAAAGATTGTGTACGTCTCCACAAGGCTATCGCGAAATAGACATATGGATTTTACTCAAACACTAGGAATTTCCAAGGTGTGTTGATGTGTCGCAAATTGAAGTATTTTATGTAAGGGATATAAATGCAAAATTTCAGCCCAGGAAATTCATTCTGGTTAATAGGAGCATTTTGAAAGTACACTTTCAAACTCGAAAACTTAAGTACACGAGAACAAAGAAATGACTCCACAAGGATACAAAGTTCAGTATGTATGTTTGCACATTCCCAATTGCAATCGCGGAAACGTTTCTTTGTCCGATTGTTGGTCGCCCTATATAGCGTTTGTTCAAATGTAATGAAGGCAACATTCATTGTGCACCCCAAACATAAACTTTTTCGCGCAGCTATAGCTGCATTCGCCTCGTGGAATGGAACGGAACATTCATCTGTATGTCGCCTCATAAAATTATTATTTCCATTGCATGAATGGAAAACATATTCATTATTTGTCATACAACACCTGAATAAATCCTCGCCATCCGATTGGTCAGAGATTGGTCAAAAAATTGAGACCGGCGCGTGCACCGTGGAGTAGACATATTTTTGCCGAGCGCCATGCGTTGGGACGGATAATTCAATGACACGTGATCAATGACCCACCAATCAGATGACGGGGATTTATTCCTGCATAAATCGTCAAAAACCCATTGGGTTCTCCGCCAAGAAAATGAAGCTCCCCGTGCAAAGTTCAACCTATAGGGGCCTATACATGTGGTACTGTTACGCGTCCAAAGCCGCTCTCAAAATTTTTTCAACAATAATGTGGTGGCGTGAAAAGTAATGTCGACCGCAAGCATGGGGAAGAGTCCTCATTCACTGATCGTAGTGTGAAATGTAAAACACAACACTATAACTTTGAACCAAGTAAAGAAAATACCGTCACTTATTACGTCACACGGATACAGAATCCCCTCTCTGGCTGTGACGTATAGTGTGCACGAAGGATAAAACAAAAAGGAGGGGTCTTTTAATGAGGAAATTATTTCATAACAAAATTACGGCTTGGCCTCAGTGGCCAGAAGAACACGTTTCCTCAGAAGGGTAGCTGACCTCTCATATCATAAACCTACATCTGATGACAGTTTTCAAACGAACAAGGTGCGGAGGTGATACCACGCTGTGCACATGATCACCCTGCCCCTGAGAAGAAAAAGATAGGCAGATTAGGAGGTGACAATGGGCACGTGTAGAGCACAGTGTCTTCCCTTTGTCATCTTTCTTTAGTATCCCTAGTTGAACAGATAAGCATGAGAACACTCGCAGAGAGCTTTTGGACAATTGAGAAACAACTGGATCTTCGGATTAATCAATTTGAAAAGGGCGAGCATAAACAGGTGCGCGGCTAAATCAATGCTCTGTGACCAGAAATGCTTCGGTTCCGTGGGTGGAGATCTAAAAACAAACTTTGTCAGTGAAGTCCGTACAGACTAAACGTCAGTTTCTAAATTTGAATTCGAATACAAGAAATCTTATAGGTTCATGGATTTCATAATGTCCAACCGTAAAGGAAAGTGTGCCACGGAATCTAGTAACAAGCAAAAGCCGGTCATAACTGCATCCGACCGAAGTCCGAACAAGGATCGAGAACGCTCAGCAAGCTTGGCCGTGCTGAAGCTGTCACGGCCTGTAGTGCGTCCCCGTTCCATGTCGTGTATCGTAAGTCCGTACAATCAATTGATTTCGCCCAGCAAAACTCTATTGGCTACATTTGCCATCCCCAGCCTCCGGAAGTGTGAAGTCAGTGGAGTGCCAGGAGTTGGATCATGCGAGGCCCAATCTGCGGAAGATGACGGAAAGACCGTCGGACCGAGCGACGCCAGTGCGGGCGCCGGGCCTGGCGAACCGGATTACCCATGGCTGTACGACGACGCGGCCCGCTACATGGAATGCCTGGACGAGTTTCAGCGGTTCTCCGACGAGTGGGAAGGGGTGCAGGGCTGGATCAAGGAACACCTCGTAAAGTTGGTGGAAAAACAAGACCTTCAGAGTGGCATCCGAGATGAGACCTCTGCGACACCGGCAACGCTGGCAAACTGTGGTCAGCCTGAATTGCTACATCAGGAGGGAAATACACAGATTTACAGGATGCTTGGAATTGGTGGCGGATCGGGTGAGGAGTGGACAAAATAATTTGGTTCAAAATTTATTGTCCCTCTCCCTGGTATAGATTGTATAGCTTGAACCCTGTAGGCCCAGTGGCGTCGGCCACGGGGGGGGGGGATGAAACCTTGTCGCCCCCCCCCAGTCGCCCCCCCCCCACTGAGATTTTGAGTTTCTAAAAAAATTATCATTGATCTACATGACGCCATGAAATGTTCCAGCCCCCCCCCAGCGCCCCCCCCCCCCCAATTCCTGGCTACGCCACTGTGTAGGCCCAAAATTTGGTATTCTCAAAACTGCAGTGGCGTAACTACCGGGGGAGAAGGGGGCACACCCCCGGTCTGTGTCAGTCCCCCCTCTCCCTAATGCACCCCCGTTTAAAATCTTGAATTGAACAAAAATATATATATCATTTATCTTCAGTGCTCCTCCTGACAATGTATGCACCCCAGGTGCCCCAGACGTTTAACCCTATATACATGTAGTTACGCTACTGCAAAACTGTACATTGCCAGTCATAATAGAACAATACAGAAAATACTGGCAATAAAAGAATTCCAACATTTCTTTGCACCGCCTGACAAAGTTTCAAGATTATTCATCGAACAATAACGCATGTAGTGTATTATTTCAACGGTTATCTTTCTTCCCCACTGAGAAATATCTCATACCAAAGGTACTTCCATTTTTACACATGCAAAATAATATCATTAATGAGCTTTAAAAAGTTGAAACAAATCTTACATTTGGGGTTGATTTTGCTTTATTTTGAATATTAAAATGTCTCTCTTTTAAGTTCTATATCAAGTAACCCGTACAAATTTCGCCGACGGGTTCCAATGTTAAAGTTGCTTAAATTTGTGAGGATCTTGCCCAACAGCTTCAGGCTACCTAAGTTGACTTTCTCGACTTATTAGGCGTTTAGTTCATACTCCATCACCAGATTGTTGCAGTATCTGCCTAACAACCCATTCTCTATTGAATTGACATTATTCATACCAATAGGTGAAATAGACCTAGCCGTCCTCCGTGCGTTGTTGCCCCATCATCCACACGTCTCCACCACGGTGGTCGAGCCAGACCCGTCCCAGATCACACTGTACCGTCAGCTCATGGCAGACAGCGAATTCAGCGGCCAAACCTTCGACTTTCACCAGCAGACGTCTTCGGAGTTCATCGTGAGTAGAATCGCTAGATTCGGGAAGAAAGATAACCGTTGAAATAATACGCTACATGCGTTATTGTTCGATGAATAATCTTGAAACTTTGTCAGGCGGTGCAATGATCCGAAGAAAATAGCATTTACCGTGGCTGGCATGCTTATAGGCGACGGAACCGTTTGCATATTCCCCTCTTTGATGAACTGTCCGTGCACGAAGCGAGAGGTCGGAAATGCGAAGAGTGGTTCCCATAACAGCGGTCCCTCCCAACTATTTCTTGTTAGTAACCGTTGAGGCGTGTGCTTCTGCACGGGGTCCTTTACTCCGTAAACAAACGAGTTGGGTAAAACACGTTATTTGCGCAACACTGGTATAACGTTACCTGTTGGTTAATTTGCCAAGTATCGGGAAGAATTTGGCCAAGAGTGTCGGCAGTTGGTATGTTGACCAATATTGGGCAAAATAACAACCCAAACGTCTTTGACAGATATATAACATGTAGCTATAAAACATCTTTCAGAACAGCCTGCCGTAAAATTGTTATGCATGTACATGTATTACATTTGTCTTGCATCATGGAATATCTGGAAAGAGGGCTGCGATTTGTTTCAACGATTTTTTTACTCCACAATTTGGCTGGCAAATAAACAAGTAAATCATGGGCATGCGTATATTTAATGATGAAATCGACATCGCCTAATTATTGTAGTAATATACACTAATACTGAATGGCATTTTAGACTTTTGGGGACTTGAATAATTTCGACTTTATGAGTAACAGTATCATGTCTGAGAACTAGTTTGTCTTAACCAACCGCCCGATTTATTTTTCAGATGGAGAATTCAGGTTGCAATACGACCTTTGACCTGATTCACATGATCCATGTCCTGTATCACATTGAGAAGCAAGATTTGGAGGCAACTTTCTCGTATTACTACAACATCCTGGCTCCAGGAGGAATGATGGCCATCGCTTATGAATCAGGTCATACTCCCATTTACTTTATCATACAAGTCCTTTACAGCTTTCTTTTAAACAATATACAATTAAAGCATCAACGTTAATTAATACTCACAGAACACCACTCACCTAATCGACGTCGGCTTGGCAGAATGGTTTCACCGACTCTGAAAATACAATTTTAAAGATCACACATCGTGCAGTGGACCCTCTTTCACGTTTTATTCCTATATAAAAAAAAAACCGTCCATGCAAAGCAAAATGACCCCAGTGCCTTTGGGCATGGGGTGATGATAGAGGCCACACAAATACTACAGCTTTCTCCCAAATAATTATAAAAAAATATGTATGTCGTTCGTAACATTAACAAGGCCTATACATTTAGCTCAATTTGCATTTATCATTCTGACAGATAAAAGCAGCCTTGCCAGGATTCGCCAATCGCTCCAGCCGTTCAAACCGGGGATGCCACCCTACATGTCCATCGGTGACGTCGAGGAAGTACTGTCCGCAGTGGCTCCCGCCTACGAGCGGGACAACATCCCGGGCACCCTCGACGTCACCGCCTGCCTGGAGGAAGATCCCTCCGCTAGCGGAGAGTGCCTATGGGACTTCATCACTCGCGTGGTGAACTTCCGTGCCAATGCGCCAGAAGAAGTAGTGCGACGAACCACAGACATGCTACGGGAGTTCTCGTGGCGCGCTGCCGACGACAATGACAACGGAAGATTTCTAACCAACGCCGACACGGCCATTATTGTCGTGACAAAGCAGAACGGTACACCATCGGAATGCAAATAAATCGGTTTTAAAACTCTGCAGGAGTTCAAGATTACAGAAAACGGACGTAGATCAAAATTTTGCCCAATTCCCAGATGGGCCGGCCGAGTAGACATAATACTCGCTACTTCAAATACATAGGCGTTTTCAAAACTACGTATATAATAAACAGAGATTTTTAACTAACACACACAAGCGAAAAGAGTCTCCAAATTCTTTCAAATTATATACCACAATACGGGTATCAAAACTAAGTGGTACATTTTGTGACGTTCTTGTCTGCTTAGAAATCGCACACTCTCTTCTACCTCATCCGTAAATAGAAGCGCTATATAACTAGCTGTAGGAAAAATAGAAGTACGTGTATATAACTTATAAGACGTTCACAATTAACAATGCATTGACAAAGTTTCTTTTGAATGAAGCGTTGCTCAAATAGTCAAATTTTCTATTTCATAGTATTGTACCAAGTTTACTATTCTAATAAAGTTAAGCCTGGCTTATCAATAACACTATTTGTTTTCATCCGTGTGTTACATTGTGATCTGTGTCCCGCTACTTTTTTCTCCAAAAACTCGGCTTCTTCGTCGATGTCTTCTTTGGCCTGGCTAGTTTTCTTACACAACTCGAAGCAGTCAACATTTGTATAATTTCAGCTAGGTTACGAGCTGGAGGAAACATCGAGCTGTATTCTTGGGTTTTTTGTGCGCCCATGAGAGTGGCGCACGTACATGGGCTCGTATACGCGCGCTACCAAACTTGCATAAGTCCTTGTCCACACGGAAAAGTCCCGCCTCATCGAAACACGTGCTCCATGAACCAATTTAAAAAATACGCGCCCATTGAATCGATCAACGCCAAATCGCACAAGTTCGGTGGCCATTCAATTATTAAAGGTATAATCTCCGCCTGCAAACATCAAAAAACAAAACTACAAAATGATTATGAACTTACCATAGTTACTTGACTGTCACTTAAATGCTCTCTACGTCTCGACCATCCTGTGAAAGCATGGCACCTGGTGTGCTGCCATTTCCAAGAAAAGTGGAAATTTTGTATCCATTTCCAACAATGGTCGACCGATATTTAATAGTCTCAAACGAATCCAATTTGGATCATTAACCTTATTCATATAAGTATTTTCGAACTAATGAGCCCTTGCGGACGATCGAACCTTCGGATTATCGGACCTTTGGACAATTACGAGCCTTCGGACTATATATCGAACCTTCGGACCATTGAGCGGCCACTTAACAGCAATGAAACGATTTAAGACAATTTTTTTTCTTATCGGATGCTCAAATAATTTATTTCATTTTCTGGTCTCACACCCCTGTATCTGTATTTAGTACACATTCTAATAAAACCATCCATGATTTATGTACATGTACAATTAAACATACATGATCTATGCCATACTATTTACAAAAAAAAAACAATAATAACTGACACAAGTTATAACAGGGGTTGCACTTCTGGCACACCAAACATGAGAAGCGCAAGCTTACAATTCTTCAACTTTATGAATAAAGATAGACATGTCCACTATGAGCTAGTTTCTTTTTATTTCCTACAGAGAAAGCACGCATGAGACTAGTTCTACACTTACAAGCTTTACTCATGATTTTTCCCCAGCATTTTACGTCCTGATATAATAGTCTTAAAGGGAAAATACAACACTTGCAAACATCAAAAAATAAATATACCAAATTTTTATGAAATACCTGACTGACTGGACTGTTGGTAAATGACAGTCTGTAAAATCATGACACCTCCTGTGCTGACATTTTCAAGAAAAGTGATATTTTTGTATCAATTTCCAATGCTGATTGGCCAACCAGCGTTGGAAAACACTGGCTTTCTTCAAATACATTGTACTACCCCAAATTGACCATAATTTAGTTAGTCTGTATTTTGTTTGCTATCGATTGCACACCTAAGAACGGGTACAAGCCAACTAGACTGGTTCCCTGAAAATACAATTCCCTGACGTCCATAACTTGGCTCGGTTTCATATTTAAGGTGGGTCAAGGAACCAGACTACAAGAATATGATTGTTTTTCTTGGTTTTTCCAGCATATACGAACACAAAACTTCAAACAAGTCAATGTAACAATATTTTCTATAAAATACCAACCCCAAATCCATCCTTTTCTGAAAATTACAGCAAAAGCAAACGTTGTATATTCCCTTTAAGGACTTTTGTCATAATCCAATCTAGTAGGAACGCTATAAAAAAGACGCAACTAGATTTATCAAATTCAGCAGCAATGCACAGAAGAGAGAAGGACTCGTGATGGAAGCAACTTTAACACTGCTATAGTAACAGGCTATTTATAAGTAGCAATCAACGATGTTCGGTTCGAAAAAAAAAGAAGTCAAATTGATGATTACAGCACCAAATCCAGTAACAGTCCCATTCCTTTTAAAAGGCATGGGAATGTTCTTTTTGTGACACACATTATTAAGGTCATTCCAGAAAGTTAGGGTACAAAGTATGAACTTTTTCCTGAGCCTATTACATTGGTACTTCGTAATTTGCTGTTCAAGGATCATTAAGAATGACTTCAAATAATGTTTATTTAGGTAGTCTGTATAGTACATAATCACTCTTGGAGGAAAAAAGCATTAAGGAGTGCATGAGAATTATTAGACCGTAGATGTCAGATGTAACAGGGACAGGAAAAGAGTGGACCCCAAATGTATAGAATGACCCATTAAGAAGTAGGAAATCAAGGAGCAAGTCACAATAATGAACTTCTAGGATGCGTTACAGTAACAAGTACAGAGCAAGACTAGCACAGCAGGCAGTAACACGTCCAAAAAGAGCCAGTTCACTCACACTTTCACAAAAATTAACACTGTTATGGATAGATGGGAAATGGATAGCTTTGAACTTCACATATTCTGCAAAATACGAACAATCCTTCACTAGTTTCAGATCTAAGATAAAATACTGAATATTCCTGTGTGTAAATCTGAAACTGATAAGTTTTCAAAAGGATGCTTGCAACGACAAAAATGGGTCACTCTAAATCTTGAAACGGTGGGAGTTTTCCAAAGGCATTTGTGAGGGAAACTGTAATAGGAGTGAGCAATATATTTGCCAAGCCCTCTTGGATCCTTTAGTCCACTAGGCGTTTTTAGAGTTTTGAAAGACTAACGAAGTACAATACTATGGTAGAGAACTGTAGAGGATTCAGGAAAATTGACAACAAACAGGGGCCGAAGGTTTATAAACACTGTGACTGGACTGACTCTCTTCTACAGAAAAATGGTTCCTCCCATAAACTAGCATGAATTGTTCAAAAGGTGATAATGAATAGGTCATAGGATGACTGTGACTGAACTGGCTTTCCTCTACATAAACAACTGTTTTCCCCCATAAATGGACATGAATGATTCAAGAGTTGATGATGAATAATGAATAAGGTCACAGGATGACTGTGATTGAACTGCCCCTGTTCTACCTAGAGAATGCCGTAAATGTACATGAATAATTCAGGAGGTGATGATGAAGATGAATAATTCATGAGGTCATAGGACGACTATGACGGATCTGGCCCCTGTTCTACATATTAAAATTTCCATAAATACACATGAATAATTCAGGAGGTGATGATGAATAATTCAGTAGGTCATAGGATGACCTCCTTGCGTTGCTGCCGCGCCCTCTTGACGGCCTCTACCCTCTTCTGTCGTTCGGCCACCTTGTTGCCCATGGTCTGGGTCAGGGGAGGTAGGGAGAAGCTAGTCTGGCTGAATGCTGCCTCCGGTCTGTCACAAGAAAAATGGGCAAAGAAAAGAATATCAGGATACTAGAAGATTTTGAAGGATTAACCCTTACCCTGTGAGACGCAACACAGTGCAACAGGTGTAAAAGTCTGTGGGACCTTTACCTAATTGGGCTATCAACACCAGGTCATAATTCTGAGACAATGGGAGCAAGTTCTATGTAAACATGTCACTGATGTTGAATACTGTTGCAGTTGGCAACCACAGACTGTAATTGGCCTCGGAATTACTGACCTGTAGGATCTTTTTTTTACATTTTGCAGGCTTCTGAGTTTGAAAACTTTTGCAAGTTGTTGCATTGGACAAGAAATAGCCAAAACAATTTAGACAGTATACAAATATAACATGGTTTGAGGGTGGACAGTCGATATTCGCTCCCCGAGGTATTGGAAGTTGACAAACTCGCCGAGGGAACTAGTTTGTCAACTTCCAATACCGAGGGGAGCTAATATCGACTGTTCACCCGAAATAAACCATGTTATATTTGTTTTACTATACCTCATACATATTCAGTTGCCGAATTTTGTTTTATTATTATGCACCTAAAACAAAATTTGGGGAAACTTGTACAGCTCACCAAAAGATTCAACTTCAATTACTAGTTCGGTTCGTTTGCAATATAATACAGTTACTACAGTTGTAAATACAGTTGTTTGCAATGTGTACAACTTTCTTTTGTACAGGAGACATCTTTACACGGTCTATACATTTTCTCCAGTACGGCATCATTGAGCTCTGTAAATTAACATTTACGCGAACCGTGCAACCATGCATCTCTCCTGTGCGATGTTCGCGCGTGCGTACTGCACCCGTGCGACAGTCCCTCGATTGCTCTGTAAAGCGCATGCGTAGTAGACTGTCGCACGGGTAACCCATGCGACATTCTACTACGCATGCGTATTTACAATGTGCGTATTTACAATCCTCGCGCGCGCGCGTTTGGTAAACAGCAAGAATAACATCTGGCACGTGATGGTGAATTGACCAGTGAACGTTCGGCTCTCGATCATGAATATGTATGAGGTATAGTAATTATAGTTAATGAAGGAACCCATTCAGTCACCGTTATTATTAACTAGTGCAGGGCCCGTTGAAAATGTGCCTGTTTGGAAGGGGCAGAGAACTGCTCATAAAAACAATGCCCACGATTCAATGTTGTTGTTGTTCACAGGTTAAACGCACACTTTGTACATGTCGTCATCCCCTGGCACTGATATTTACCCATACTGGACAATGGTATCGCACTACAGTGACGGTTCCTCAATCGACCGCAAAAATGCATGTGTCCGTCCTTTTTCCATTGTTGTGTCATATTGAGCACGCGCACTTTGGATTAAACATGAAACTAGTAAAGAAATATCCACAAAAATGAAAGAATACCACAAACTTACATCTTTTTGCTCTGATTCTTGAGAGATATTCTTGGTAATTTGCTGTCCCTGAAAGAAAACAAGATGAAATAGTTGATTATTTTCAAAATCTCTTTACATTTAAGGGTAGTGAACAGGGTCCTATTTCAGAACAAAATCTTTCCTTCGCTTATTACGTTTTTGCCCGTTTCAAGATGGCTTAACTCTGTTCCAAACTATGATCCATGCAAATACACTCCTTGAGCACATGGTGTGCAGGCAAGAACGGATTGACACACACAGATAGTCAGAGCTTGACACTTACCCAGCACTAGGGTCCTCGTCTGCCACATAGGCCTTAGCAAGTAGGTAGGCATCAGGTGTCCACTTGTGAGAGTACAAGACGTCCTTCAGATCGGACTTCAGTTGTGACAACTGTTGACAATTGTTAAATATTAAAACGTTATTGTGAAGAACATACTACAAGGTGTGCCAATTCCTTTTTCGGAGATTATTTGCTTTTTGCACTGCCATTCAACAGACCTCACAAATATAAAGGGGATGTTCAAAATTTTACTGTTTACTGTAAAATATGCTGCAAAGTGCAATTTAAGAGAAATATAATCTGGGGCCCAATTTCATAAACTTAAACCATGTAAGTCCAAACAACATAACTGCTGAAACCTTTTTGCTATTCAGTACATAATAAACAGTGCCATTTCTACAGATGTTTACCTTTTCCCCCAAGATGCAATATGGGTAAATCAGGATTTACACTGCTAAGAAGAGCTTTTCTGAAATCTGAATAGACCTACTGACGTCACGTTTTGTTTACATGTGTGCTTTCCTATGGGAGCTTGGTGGATTTTGTCCCCACCTAGCTCCCATAGGAAAGCGCACATGTAAACAAAACGTGACGTCATTATGTCTTATGCCTCTTGCACTGTGATGGAGTTGCAGTAAAGTCCTCACAAATTATCACAAGTTGAACACAAGTCAGTTGCAATTCATCCTGTGAAGAGCCATCCAAGTGACTGTTACAAAGGCATTCCTAATCACTGTTCATTAACTGTAACCTTAGACACTAACTGTGATTTGATTTGTGAATTGACTTGTGATTTGATTTTTGATTTGGCTTGCGATTGACTTGTGATTTGATTTTTGATTTGACTTGTGATTGACTTGTGATTTGACTTGGGATTAGAGTTGTGATTGATTTGTGATTTGACTTGTGATTGACTTGTAATTTGTCTTTTGATGGACTTGTGGTTTGAATTGTGATTTGTCTCATGAATGGCTTGTGATTTGACTTGCGGTGGACTTGACTACTTCTCCGTATATCAAATATTCAGATTCCAACTCTTCTCAACAAAACTTGTTAATACAGCTGCATTATCCCCTGTCTGTTACTCCCTGTACCTTGCAAATCATTCCAATGGTTTCATAGATTCATAAGAGAATATATACATTAAATTGTAATACAATGAAGAACAGGTGCAACTGGATAAACCAGGTGAAGTTGTGCTTACCTCCAGTGACTGCCTCTCACTATGCTCCTGCAGGTGCCTAATAATGACCTCACACTCCTCCAGGGTAGGAGCTCTCGGCTGGGTGTCATTAGGACCCTGCACCTGCAAGGGGTTCATGCTGACGGGTACGGGCGGGCTGGGACCTTTCTGGTCGGTGGGACTGGTTTGCTGGCCAGCTTCTTGACTCGGTGGTCTGTGAAGAAAGACAGAAAGAGGAAAATACTGAATTATACTATCTGAAATATACACATGTACAGATCGTGAAAAACAAATTTCTCCATGATTCTTTACAATGTAAGGCCAAAAAAAAAAGTCTCCGGTTTCTGGTATGGAGCTTGCCCAAAAAGTGGTGCGGCGACGCGGCTTTTTTTTTTTACCTGTCTTTTTTGCTTCAAATGTCGGCTGATGACTGCAAATGGTACCCGACTAAACTTAGTGCAAATATATGGGAGTCCGGAGAGGCCACATAAAGCTTATTCTCGATCATAACCCCATCTAAAAACACGTTAAAATTGTGCAGCAGCAGGATTCCAGTCAAACCAGTGAGTTTGGCGGTTTTGAGACATCATCTTTTATTGAAAAAAAAACTTTTTCATTGAAACAAAAAGCACATGGCTACGGCGACGCACGCGCATACCAGAAACCGGAGACTTTTTTTTTTTGGCCTAAGGAAACTTGTATTACTAAATGATAAAAGCAATCACTACCCTCAACGCTATTATGTTTCAATCTCAAATTGCTTGTTATTCTTTTTCAGGAGAGAATATAAGCTTCTTTTTTTTTTTTTGATAGAATTGGCTTGCTGGTAATATTTCTCAGAAACATTAGTCCTTAGTTTTGTGACATTTATTCTACTAAAAAGTTTACATATTGGACTGTGCCCTTTACCTATGTATAAGTTTATTTAGCATTGTTTACCTAGTTCTGTCCGCAAAATCACAGCTCAGCAATCATACTCCAAGTATGATTAATTCACTATAATTTCAAATAGTTGGTTTCGACTAGTACTTTACGCTACATAGAATTTCTGGTCTGCTCAATAAAATCAGGACCACTGCTCACCTTTTTTCGACTGCGTCTTTGAGTAATCTTTGGAGGTATGCGTTTCTGCCCCGGGAATCTTGAACCGCTGCGGTGAGCTCCTTCACTTTGTCTTCCATGTACAGCATCTTCAGCTGGTCTAATTTTTGAGCTGGATTAAAAAAGAAACCATCAAGAGAAAATACTTTTACACCTACGGGATAATTGTCAGGAGAAATTTGAGAAGTTGCTTGAACATGTTGAATAAATTGTGTCTCTCCTACTTGTTGGACAGTTGCTTACCCTGTAATTGTGTGCTACCAAGCATGATCTCTCCCTCGGACTTCATTGATGAACTCGATGATTCTGCAAAGGTCAACAAATATACACGCATGTTACAATTATTTGTATTTATTTGAAACCATTTTAAATTTTGTTTGTTTCAGAATATTCATTAATCATTATCAATCAGTAAACAGAAAGACGCAAAAATCCTAACATTGATGAAAAAGAGTCACATATGGTGCAAAATTACATTTTAATGGGCCCATGACATGAATTTTACTTGGGAACACATTTTGTAGAACTTTTTCACTCCTCTTAAAATGTATGAACAATATTTAACATCCCTTTTTGGTTAATTTTATTGAAAAGTGCACTTCTATAAACAGTTAACCATTTTCATGCTTTTCCTGACAAATGAGGGCGCTGTTGCTGTGATGTCATTTCAGGAAGACTGTTCAAATTGTGAGCCCAAAATCTGCTCACTGAAATCAATTGTGAGAAAAGTTTGCTCATATTAGCTTACTGCCATGTACTGAAACAGCAAAAAAAAAAAAAAAAAAGGAGAAAATTTGTGAAAGCAAAATATCCAACATTGTGGCAAATTTTGATGCTGAAAAAGCTGTCGCATTGAGATTTCTGCCTAAGTAAAATGACATCACACTTTTGGTCATGAATATGCAAATTCACTTTAGCATAAAAAAAAGCACCAAAATGTCCTTAAAAATAGCAAAATGAAAAGTGAACATGGTGAAAATCAGGTTAAATGGGACGCAAAGGTTAAGGACTGCATTAAGACAATGACATTACCTGGGCCCTTTAAACAGCTTAGATTCTCTGTTTTTGTTGGTTTTTAAAGTTACAAAATCAGACATCACCCTTCCCCCTCCCTCCCCCCCCCCCAAAAAAAATAATAATAAAAATCGTCAAAATTGATGGGCTAGCTTTTCTTTGTCACTGGACAAATACGAATGTTTATGCTTACCTTTTTTAGGGCTTGATCCCCTTGCCATGATAACTTTGAAATGTAATTCTAGACGGAAAAAATAACACAAAAAATCCACATTACTTGGCATGCAAATTGGAATTCTCAACAATGGAATTTCACAGTGTGCGAGGTTCATTAGCAATTCATGTACATTGTACAGATGTAAGATAATCCACTGAAGTCTTCTGTATTCAATTTTATGTGCATTTTAAATTCGATACCGAGTGCATTCTATTCTATTCAGAAAAACAGAAGCAACATCATTAAATATGCATGATCACTGTGTGGTATTTCTAGATTAACATTTTGCATCGCAATACAAAACGCACAGCGTATCAGTTCTAGAGTTAAAATATGTAAATTACAAAGCAATTTTGATTTAAGTTAAAGCACATTTAGATGTAGTCCTTTCAAACACATCACAGTCTTCACAAATACAATATCTAGACCAAAGATCAAGTGTTATTCCAATACTATGGGAACAGATGGCTATATGGCAAGTTGGTAACGCATGCAGAGGTCAATGTTTATTGGCATTTTGCCAATAGCCAGGTATCACTTGTATGGCAAATTATAACACACTATTATTATGATCTTTGTGGAAATGTGTGTACATTATGTAGTCTGATCCCTTTTTTCAGATACTTTACATTGTACATGTACATGGTGTGTCATGAGAACTTTTTTTAGTAATGATCAGAATTTGCATGACGCGCACAAAACTTTTATTTTTTAACGACACATGCCATAATATGGCCATTATAGCAACCTTTAACAGTCTGTGTTTCTGGATGGAAAAATCTTCAACAACATTGATCTTAGAAAGTTCATGGTTGAAAATTCCGATTACAATGTCTACAATGTACATTTGTAAAGTTACCTTTGTTTTCTCTCTTCAAATCGTCAATCTCCTGGTGCAGGCTGAACAGTACCTCGTGGTGTTGTCTCTTGAGGAACTCCATGCTGCGTTCCATGTGGTGCAGCCTCTGCAGCGGGTCCACCGCCGAAGCATCCGACCCGCCAGCATCCAGGCTCTCACTGTCGGCGTGAAGCACAAAGGAGGAGGCCCCGCTGGAGTTTGTCGGGGGGAGGATGGGTATCTGGTCCTTGAGGAAGGGGCGAGGGTAGCGGGCCTTGTCCAGGGATTGCACCCTCTGCCACTGGGGCAGGTTGGCCAAGGGCGGAAGTGTCATAGACATGACTGGCGATGCCATGCAAAGTCTCTATCCGTTACAGTTCCCGCTGTGCTCTTGTATTTTGTATTCCTTTTGCGAAGGCCGATGGGTGAATTTCCGTAACACTATTTCCTGAAATGGATGTATAGCTGAGTGCTCGGGCTTGTGGCAGGCTTTCTAATTGGAGTAAGGTGTTTAAAGTACGTCTTCTGTTGGTGAATCCAATGTTATCTATCCATATCTGTGTTGCCTGATGTGATGACAGTTCTGAGGTTACAATCTGAAGTTTTTCTGAAATAAAATGAAAATTAGAACGTTCGATTAACTTTCACGTTTAAGCCAAGACCAAGGACACTGTACACAATACCTAGAGTACATGCAGAAAACACAGCAGAATGTGAAATAAGCCTAGGTGCAATGTTAGGCCCATTGTTTCAAGTATTCAATTAACCCTAAAATCCCTACTGTCTTTTACTTAGTACTGGACCAAGTCCGCCAAAATCCATCACTGACCCTGCTTCACATAATGCTTCAGGACCAAATCCGCTGAAATCCACCACAAGACCACCACTACCATAGGTGGATTTTTATGGACTTGGTCCATCCAGAGCCATTAATCAGAAAAAAAGATGAAATATTCTGCAATTAAATGTATGATTAGATTTAAAACAATACAGAATTTCAGAAAGAAAACTTGTAGGCCTACTTTAGGGAAAATGTGGGGCTTTTTTTAATGTCGAGCCCAATGCCAAGCATCAATCAACCGAAACATTTGCTCTATCTATTCGAAATGGCAACATATGTTTGTGTACATCATACACGTGTACGTGTGCATGCGTAGAGGAAGTGCTGGCACAGCGGAAAAATGCAGTAGGCCTACCGGTTCACGCACAAACAGTTTGTCAACATGGTCAATTGCAAACCTCAAATAAAAAAAGGCAGTGGATATTTTGCTGGAGACGGCAAACCTTTAGTAAACGTTAGTTTGCCGGATATGCACTGAACATGCGCAGTTACTATTTTTTTGTACTTAGACATTTTCCGGTGACAAATTTTAGTCTGGCTCCATGCCAACATTATTGTTGTAACTTCGTATTCACAAAATGGGAATCAGACCATTTTACAATTTCGGACTTTATTTCCCTTTTAAAAAAAATCCCCCAGAGCCACAAATCTGAAAAAGAAAATGTAATACTCTGCAATAAAATGTTTGAGACATGTTAAAATAACAAAAGAAGAATATTTCTATTTTTTGGGGATGGGGGAAAAAAACAAAGAAATGTCACCAGCGGGGATCGGGATCGAGCGCGGGTTTTCCCGCTCATGAGATCTGTTGCTTATCCACAAGACCAAGTGTGCTAGACAACCGTTAGTGGGAATAGTGGTAATTTCATATATCTTATACATGTAATTCAGCTCTATCTTAGAGAGTACAGCGCCCTCTGTTGATATGGATTGCCGCCGGCAAACCTTTAGTAAACGTTAGCTTGCCAACATTACCTCCAGCAATATATCCACTCACTATCTAAAAAAAAAACATGATTAGCCAATTAACTGAGAGATTAACATGATCAGATGATTTAATTAAAAATTCAAAATATTGATAACAAAAAAAACACTAACAGAAAATAAAAAAGCAGAATATATTTTAAAAAAATACTCATAATTAATTTATTTAGGCTAGGCCTACCACGGCCACAAAACAAAATTGTCCAACAGCTAGCAACACATTCTTGTCATATGGAAACGCCCGTTTAATGTCATGGCAAAAACTGCAGTTAAGTTTTGGTTGTTGAATCGCATTAATTTAGTTTGTTTACATACCATTTTGGTCTGAAGTACAGCTTATGAATTGTGCAGAATTATAGGAGTTTCCACGTCACATTAGGAAGAAGTCGAAACAACTCAGCAGCCATTTTTTTATTTGTTAATTATTTTTCAGTTATCGCGACGAACACTGCACAAAAATACCTCACGTACGGCGCGGCTAATGTGCATTTATTATGCAAATTTCAGGTTGCCAGGTGACGTTTGACCCAAATAGTCTTATTCATGTATTCCATTTTCATTTAATAAAAAGAAAAAAATAAATAATAAAATATTTTCCTCATTACATAAATTATATAAATTATTTTAAATATATTTCTGAAATGTTATTATAAAAATAAACTTCAAATAAAAATTGTTTCGCTTCTTTTTGTTGTTAGAAATGTGAACGAGCCAACAGCAACGAGTTATTGTTGTCACGAAAACGCGTCTGCGACTATGGCTACTGACTTTATGACGTGAAGTAAAGCCGCAGCCACAAAATACCTGATTCAGAAAAGACATCGGATCTTAACATTTTTGATAGGTGGAGAGTGCAATCTTTTAGATTGATTTAATATTTCAAAAGCATAATTTTGTTTCTTTGTTTGTTTCAAAATATGGTTTTCCCATGGTTTATATGTGAATTAAGTTAGTGTTCTGTTTTGAATAGGTAATAGTCTCAACTTTTACAAATATTGAGATTCGATTGCCCCTTAAAAAGAAAAAATGAAATATGCAGAGAAAGTAAACAAGGGCACCAGCTTCTGCTGTTGATTTTATCTGCATTCATTACGTAATGTATATCCTGAGCTGTTGGAGTCTGGGTACAAGGCGAACGTACTTTGGTCTGTTTAGTGTGTACACCTGACTCTAACCGCGAATTTGGCCGAATATCTGGCAGCGAGTTGTTCAGCCGCAGATTCAGCCGCGCATTCACAATTTTTTTTTAAAAGTATAATACATACGGCAAAAGGTGATCCGTTTTCCCAACGAATTTCCCATAATAAACGACAAATAATATTTTTCACGCCATAAATAAACCCCGACATAAGCAACCGTTTTATCCACTAAGTAAGTGAAAGTAAATGCATCATTTGAAACAAAGTGTACCACACGCGCACGGGACGAATAACGACGAGAGCATTGACCAAGGCTAATAGTGAGGGCACTACATTTTACCAACACCAATTTCTTCCAAAAGAGGGCGCGCTACTCAAATACTGGTCACCACCGTAAGACTTCTGTCATGGATCACGATCTGCCCAAAAAGAAGTCGGCAAAAGTGAACAAAACCCCCACACTTTGTGGAGAGATAACTCAAGAACAACACAGTGCACCGAATTGAAATTTGGTTCAATAATTGTTCGGGATATAGAACACAAATAAAATCAAAGAGAACTTCTGAAGAATAAATTTAATATGATTTAAAGAACATACCGTTTATTAAAATTCAATCCGAATTCAAGTGAACATAAATAAAGCACACTGTGGAGACGATAACTTAAGAAAAACACATTGCACTGATTTGAAATTTCTTCCAATAATTGTTCTGGATATAGGACTCAAACTCTTATTCCAGAACAATTATTGGAAGAAATTTCAATTCAGTGCAATGTGTTTTTCTTGAGTTATCGTCTCCACAAAGAGTGCTTTATTTTTCTAACATTAAAAGTGACTCGAATTCGAATTGAATTTTCGCGATTAATAAACTGTATTTTTGTAAAATCATATTAAATCGATTTTCGAAGAGTTTGAATCCTATGTCCAGAACAGTTATTGTACGAAATTTCAATTCAGTGCAATGTGGTTTTCTTAAGTTATCGTCTCCACAGTGTGCTTTATTTTTGTTCACTTGAATTCGGATTGAATTTTAATAAACGGTATGTTCTTTTAATCATATTAAATTTATTATTCAAGTTTTCCCGTTGATTTTCAAAAGATTTGTGTTCTATAATCCCGAACAATTATTCAACCAAATTTCAATTCGGTGCACTGTGTTGTTCTTGAGGTATCTCTCCACAAACTGTGGGGTTTTTTGTTCACTTAATGCCGACTTCGTTTTGGGCAGATTGTGATCCACGTTGACAGAAGTCTTTACGGTGGTGACCAGTATTTGAGTAGCGCGCCCTCTTTTGGAAGAAATTGGTGTTGGTAAAATGTACGGGAGTGCCCTCACTATAGTTTTTGTTTTTGTTGTATTAATTCTTTTCTTCAACGGTTTCTGTCAAATATCAAACTGATTGTGTCGTTTATCACAGTCAATTCAAACCAGTGCAATGTATTTTTCTTGAGTTGTCGTCTCCACAAAATTATTTTTGTAACATTAAAAGTGACTCGAATTCGAATTGAATTTTCGCGATTAATAAAACTGTATTTTTGTAAAGTCATATTAAATATATTCTTCAAGGGTTTCAGTTGATTTTCAAAGTATTTGTGTCATGTATCTCGAACAATTATTGAACGAAATTTCAATTCAGTGCACTGTGTTGTTCTTGAGTGATCGTCTCCACCAAGTGCTTTATTTCTGTTCACTTGAATTTGGATTGAATTATAATAAACGTTATTTTTTTAAATCATATTAAATTGACTCTTTAGAAGTTCCCATTGATTTTCAAAATATATGTGTCCTATATCCCGTACATTAACAATTTAAACGCCTCCAAAACTGATTTAGCGTTGAAAAATAACGCAATTTAAACATAATTTTTAGAACAAGACTTCAAAAATAGTGGATACAACGGTTGCTTATGTTGGTTTTTTTTAACATGGCGTGACACACACACAAAAATGTATTTGTCGTTTATTATGAACAATTCGTTCAATTAATGAAGTTATCTTTTTTGAAAATAGATCACCTTTTTCCGCATGTATTATAGAGTTTGTTGTCTTTCGGCGAATGCGCGGCCGAATCTGTGGCTGAATACGCGGCCAGAAATCCGGCCAAATCATCGGCTACCTTGAGCTTGGTCGTTTAAATACCCCCCTTTGCACACTGTCCATCCAGCAAAGCCTAGTAATTTGATACGAAATGTCGGTCCATCTTTCTAAAAAAGATGCATTCCACAAGCGGTTGCTTGCAGAGTATCTGCGGTTATTACGAACCTATCCGATAATTACAAAATCCCTGACAAGGTAAGTATCCTCCCCCTACGCGTACCGCGCATACCGCGGCGTTTATATTAAAACGCATGCATGAATGGGTTGGCTATCTCCTCCGATCCGCTTCACACACGGTAGTAATCAGCTCGGTGTCAGTGAAGACCCCGCCCACCTAGCTTCTAGCTCAACGTGAAAACATTGGTGTTTACACAACAGTGACAGGACAGTGACATAATTGACTTTGGTGTAAATTATGGGGAAAGAATTCCATACAGTGCCACCACTCAGACCTCCTGCACAAAGTCTATGGGCCATGACAGAAAAAGTTAATTACAATGTAGTAATAGTATCACTATAACTGTATAGTCGTGTTCCCTAACGTGGCGCACTTTGAAGCCTACCCGACTTTCCTCGTGTAGTGTTGCCAAACCTCTTTGTTGACAAACCTCAAATTCATGCAGTAAAACACTAGTACTTTTACCTTATTAATGCTTGCTATTTAACCTCTGTGAACAATTTCAGTTTCATAAAATTTAATCCAAAATTCAAAAACGGTGGCGTCTGGAAATTGGGCACAAATTGGCGGAGTGTTCCCTAACGTGGCGCACTTGAATAAATCTCGGAAAATTCCAATTTAACATTTAAGAATTTCTGTAAACCTGATAAATTCTGATAAACATTTATTATCTCTACTTACATGCCCAGCCAGATGTTTGTCAGAAAATTATTTTCTTATTTTTCGGGGCATTTTTAAAGGGTTCACTTTGCACTTGAAAATAAAATCGGAAAATCACGCCAAAATAAATTTTTCTTCTAACTTTGTTACGGGTAAATTAACTCGCGATTTATGAAGAGGAGTGTTTAGAACTTGATGAAATTTCACTTTCTTGGAAATTTCAGTTAAAACTTTTGCTCTAGGTTGGCGCTACAGGCGAAAAATCAAAGTGCGCCACGTTAGGGGCCGCGCCACGTTAGAGTACATCAACAATATTAGAATTTTTGCACTCCTTAAAATGTTGTTTCTTCATTAGATTTAAAACTTTTGGGGAAAGATTCCCATATCATATGATATCTGGCCATCAATAATTTTTCCCTTCAGTGAACTCTAGCTATCACAGTATCAGTGATCAGAAAGTGATAATGAATTATGTGTCCTAAAAAGTCAGTAAGTATTTACTTGTTTTCTGTTTCTGATTTCTTCTGATTGATGCCTCATATAAAGCTTCCTTTATTGTTCAACTTCTGATAACTCTTAGTGTTTTGTTTAAATTTAAAGGGAAAATACAACATTTGCAAACATCAAAAAATAAAACTACCAAATCATTTTGAAATACCTTGCTGGACTGTTAGTGAATGACAGTGTAAAGCATCCTGTAAAATCATGGCACCTGGTATACTGTCATTTTCAAGAAAAGTGGTATTTTTGTATCAATTTCCAACGCTGATCGGCCGACCAGCGTTGGAAAAAACTGGCTTTTTTTCAAATACTGACCCCAGTTGAACATCGCACTTGTTTGCAATCGATTACACACCTATGAACGGGTACAAGCCAGCTAGACTGGTTCCCTGACCTTACAATTCCCCAATATATGTAACTGCTCTGTTTCTTCTTAAATGGAGTCAGGGAACCAGACTACAGGAAAATGATTGTTTTTCTTGGTTTTTATAGCATTTTCGAACCCAAAACCTCAAAAAAGTCAGTGTAACTATATTTCCTATATATTTCCAACCCCCCAATTCCATCCATTACAGCAAAAGCAAATGATGTATATTCCCTTTAAGTACATGTAGGCCTAAGTTTTAGTTTAAACACATGGTTAATTCGATTGATTTTTTTGCCAGTGGAGCCATTTCATCAGTCAGCAACATCGTAGCACAAAAACTCTCCGGAGGCTGGAAGGCGCCGATAGCCTGGAGAAACATAGGAGCATTTGCTGCCACTGGGTGAGAGAAAGGAGTCAGGGGTGACCATGTGCATGGGTGCCACAGGGTCCGCTCATAAGTCCGAAATTTTGGACTTATGGCGTCGGAATATGAGGCATCGGACTTATAAGTCCCACACCTCATCGCATAGCTCCGACGCCTCATAAGTCCGAAACAGCGCTTGTCCATTGTCGGACCTATGAGGCGTCGGACATGAGGCATTGGACTTATGAGGTTTACAATTTATTTATTCCGCCTCATAGGGCCGACGCCGCATAATTCCAACGCCTCATAAGTCCGAAACAGCATTTGTCCATTGTCGGACTTATGGCGTTGGACCTGTGAGGCAAAAGTTATACCTCATAAGTCTGATATTTCATTGTGTATAGTCTTTCCACAGAAGGAAATATTTATCAAAGGCCATAAACTTCTCCAAAGTCATATCCGCAGCTGTAATGGTATTTTATCAATGTTGTATCGGTAGATTATGTCAACAAATGCATTACGTAAGGCATGCGTATAACATGTAGTTGAGGTCAAACCTGTCTAAATGGCTGAAACAAATCGAAATTCTGATGTAGAAAAACTTGTAACTCAAATTGCATGTTTTTAATTTTGTAAATGCAAGTTTGCTGTGTTCCATTATTTCAAATCCAAAATTTATTCACTTTTTAACCAAACAACCTGTTTGTAGACTGTTTTCTCCACTTATTTTTGTCAATGTCTACAATAATTGGAGGGTAATTTCAGTTAGGGTTGGAATGTATTTAGATACAAAAATTTGACCGACAGCCTTATACTCCAGAAATGCATTCTCATCATTTGCCATTTCTTCCTGGTTTATAATGCAGAATTTTCTACACGGGTCCCATCACACATTACTTCTATCGATGGCTTGAGGCACTAGTACCAGGCAAAGACAAAGTCTCTCAGATCTTGAAGCTGATCGTGGACAGACTATTCATTGCCCCGCCCTTCCTGCTGGGATATCTCTACTGCATCAGGAGGTTTGAGGTGAATGAATGTATTTAATATGCACATGAATAATTTACGTACGGTGCCTTTAGTGACAATATTGAGCAGAAGTGGCCTTGACCGAAGTGCCCATTGCAACAGCAGACAGTCACCAATGTAACCAATTAGTCCCAATGGGCTCCGTGCGCCAACAAAAGAGGGCGCGTTTTTACCACTTTTGAGAGCCCCTTGAACGAGACAGCGCGTGTGCGTACTGTACTGGTTCGCGTGTGAAGTACGCACGACTTATTTATCCTGAATGTGCACGAAGCTAAGCCATAGCGTCTTCGGCGTGAGCGTCAGGCATCTCCTGACGATGACTAGAGCAGGCTAGTCGAAACGTTGAGACCAAAGACAAGTTCGTTTAGAACTTACAGCAGGACTGTTCTTAACAGAACAAAAAAACTACTTAGCAAAGTTGATAATAAGCAGGACAAGTTCTTTTCAGAACTAATATCTTCTAAGCAGTAGTTATTACCACATGGTGTTACCGCAGACCGAAACGATGGCGTCAGGCATCGTCGGCGCGCGAATATATTCGAACTTAACTTGCGATGGTCTCCCAGACTTATCCCCGCCCCCCAGTAACTTTGGACCAATCCAAATATGCAGTGGATGACTGGGAACCAGTCTAGGTCTCCCCCAACTCTCCTTTTGTGGCGGTTGAAGGGGTACTTGTGCATGGCGCCCATATCACCCAAATGCTCTGGTACTCCCTGCCTGTAAACTGCCTCAGTACCGCCCCAGCGCTGAACTTGTTTTTATGGCTCATCAGAGAATGTAAAATGCTAATGGTTCAAACAGTATGTGTTCATGTACACAACAACAAAAATCTTAAGAGCTACATGTATAATAAAAAGCATCAATTTGGAATGATTTTCAACAATTTTGCCTCGTTTAGACAAACACATTATTAGCTGGAACATAATTTCAGCAATAGTGTTGCAGCTTGGGAACACAAAAGGAATACTCACATAGTACGCTCTATGTTCCAAATCACAGAGTGATCTACAAGGTGGTCCGCCCTAATAGTTTCCCAGGACTCCCCTGATCAAACCAACACAGTCCAACAGGTGGGATAATTTTGCTGGGTAACTTACATGTACCATACAAACTCAATCCAAAAGAAACTGTGCCTTATTTTTCCGCTGGTTTCAGAATGCAACAGAAACCAGCAGGAAGAAACAACATGTTTTTGCTCAATCCAACTTGGCCCTTATTTTCCCATTGCCAGCTGAATGCAACAGACCCCAACAGAATCCAGCAAGCCAGGTTTTTTCTACTCAATCCAACAGGATCCTACAGAAATTCAATGTAGTCGGATCCTGTTGGATTGAGGAGGGTTAGGGTTTCAATTTGCGTTTCAAATTTCTCTGCATTGTTTCGCCAGGGCAAAAGTCACCAGACTGCAGTGGAGTTTCTCAAGCAGGCCTACTGGACAGTACTCAAGTTGAACTGGAAGGTCTGGACCATCGTCCAGTATGTCAACATCAACTATGTCCCACTCCAGGTCAGTACTTCAAACAAAAAATCTAGGTGTGCCTATGTGTGCCTGAATCCAAATGTCTTACATTAGGACATTTTAACTCAGTGTCTCATTCAGTCAGTGTGTTCAGCAATATTTTGGCGTTTACCAATTTTGAAAAAAATCTTTGAGGATATTTAACAGGACACTCAATTTTATTTATGCAATTTTAACATTTTCAACTTTTCTTTGTATCACAAATGCAGTATCGGGTGCTCTTTGCAAGTTCTGTTGCCTTCATCTGGTCTCTCTACATAGCCGTCTTAAGTGGGACTTAGTAACATCTGGACAAAGAAGGCTGTCAACTGAGTTGAAGAAGGCCATCAACTGAGTTGAAGAAGGCCATCAACTGAGTTGTGCAGTCCTGAAGATTTTGTTGTAGGTGCCAATTGATGATTCATCCACAACTCGCGTCAGATCTTGCAAAGGCTAACGGGATTAAAAGTTGTTAGCTACAACCTTGTAAATGTAAATTTATGCAAGGCTGATTCTGAAAAAAAATGTTGAAGTGCTGATAAAGAGAATCATTGCTCTTTGAATGACAGTTCCAAAAGTAACCATCATTCTCAGATGTGATGTAAAAGTACGATTTTGTTGGCACAATCTGTCATAAAGGCATATATAGAAGCGAGTAGTAATAGTGGTGCAACAATGAAAGTTACTCATTTTCACAATACAATCCAGATTATTAGAATAACAAAGGCCCATTGTTGTACCATGCAAATGCGACTCCAAGGCTTACTGCCGACCCATAACTAAGGACCAAATTAAAGTGTTCCAGCTCCGGTGAGTCAGTGGACAGTCACTGAAAAGAACCCTTACATGCTGGCAAGACTCATTTGAAGAAAACAAAATGCCTTTCTTAATACTTTTTTTCCAGGAAACTGAATTAAATGTAGTGACTAGGTTTTAAGTTTTTACCTTTATATTATTGTTTACACTCTGTATTAACAATAATCAATAGAAAAAAATTTCCAATTTCTTTTTTTTTTGGTTGCCAATTCGGAAGATGTGTCCAAAATGCGTTTCGTCCTTTATTGTACATGTATGCATATCAGTGAATTTCAATGAAATCTCGCTGAAATTTAAAAAAATAAACCAACAAAATGCTGCCCTTAAATTTTGTAAGAGAAAATGTACAATTGTAGTGTTTGGTATATTTTTAGTAAACGTTCTGCAGATCTGTGTTCAAAGGTAACTAAATCTGCCATTATCTTAAACGGCCTTTATGAATCTGGTAACCATGGCATTTTCAAAGTGAATTTTCAAATATATATGTATTTGGGGTTATATATTAAAAATCTGTTCTGGGACAAAAAATGTCAAATCTTCCCTCCGAGCACAAAAGAAAATGTTAAGTAAAGTTTACTTTTTTATGATGTATTTTCTATGACAATTAAATTTTTTTGGGTAAATTGCAATAAATATATTTGATTTTAAGAACATGTCAGTGTTTTCGCTTTTTCAAACATTGTGTGATATCAGTTAAAGTCAAGGTGTTGAAAGGAAATTTCAAGAATTTTTTTGAACAGTTTTCCTTCTGAAAAGATTTCAATGACACCACAATTGCATATTTCAATTCAAATTTATTTATGCCAGTATTAAGTGATTATTATGAATATTAAATTACAATAGGTAGATGCCACAAATGAAATAAAAAGAACACGGGCAGTAAAAAAAAAGACACACAATTGTGCATGGTGATGATCACAGAAAAGCTTGGGGGAAAAAAGGTTAGAAATGATAGTCAATTTGGTGCAATTAAAAAAGTAAGTTTCGGACAAGTGGACTTGGCACATCTTATGAATTTTTCAGAATTGACACTTCAAAAGTATTTTTCAAAACTGGTAAAGAAATCTATTCCAGCTTCAATTCATTCTGGGTAGTGAGTGCTCGCAAATAAAATTTACGTTTTAAACTTGGGCTTTCAACTCGGGCGTCCTGTAAAATTGCATCCTTTCCCGCAACACTGCCTTCACTGCCACATAAAGAACCTTTTTTTCTTTTGAGTCTGGAGTCAGAAATGCACTTTATTGACAGAAACACATCTAAATCCATACAAATACCTGGGTAAGAATGCCTACCACTTTCCACTGGGGTTAAAAATTGGATCAAGTAAGAAGAATTCACACTATTCAAAACAGCTTTTCCATAAAAAAAGGATAGATAAAAACCAAAGCGTCTACTTGCTAGTTAGCTACATTATGCTTTGTATGTACAATATGATATTGCTTTAATACACTGTAGCGACCATACACCCCTATGGCAGCGACCGACAGAGAACAAACAATCTTCTGTTCAGTGTCCTCTCACTTGAACTGGCTGATGACAAAAGATCAACTCGTTCAAAACTGTACAAGACTGGTTTACTGGTTTGAAATTGCTAGCAGGAACATCTTTATTTAAAGCTGTAAAAAGCAGTTTAAATTCTTTCATAACGTTTAAAATTACCTCTGAGAAAAGGACAAACATTGGTCATCTTATTGGTATTTTTTCAGGAACATAAAACTTCACAGAATTTCATTTCCTAAAAACTAGAAAGTCATGTCCGATACACTTCAACTCTCATGAAAAATGAAGAACAAAAAAGATGTCGTGATCAAAAAATTTAGAGCCAAGTAATATATGCTGTATCAAAACCAACTTTTTCTTTCTTTCAAAAAATGTTGGTGATCACACCATCATAGAAATCACACTGTACACTTTATAATACATTTCTGTAACGTAGGTGCTGCCACCTCCAACCTATTAAACATTGTTCATTATAAGATTTTGCATTATTTTTTGAACGATATTCTCCGACAAGAGTTTATGTAACTCCCATTGGAAAATCCCAGCTCGTTTGAGTAACCTCTAAGGGAAAAAAAAATTCCACACACAAAAACACTCCCTCCCAAAATCCTTTTTAACGCTATGACCCCTCTCGGTCTCCAAAGCAGCAATAAAAAAAAAGTTGATCAATGCTTTTACGCACTCAACCATAAAAAGGAATGTATCAGAGTAGTTTGGTCAACCACAATACGTACTTCAAAATTAATAAATAACAAAAGTGACTAGTTACGCTACTTCACTGCAAGTTAGACACAAAATACACCCTGAAGTCTTATTTCAGGTTTTTTAATTCCTTGTTGCACAGGTCCCGGTCTTGACTGGCATCTTTCTGAGTTCAACAACATTTTTTTATAAAGAGTAAAAAGAAAAAAAAAAGGATGCAATACAAATCAGCAAACACTGACAAACAAATCCTTTCAAATGCAGCAATGAGTCTTATATACAACACAGCTACTTTCATGTACCTCTTTCTTTTGAACTCAGAAGGATTCCGTGAGATTGCCACATTTTTTTACTTTCGCTCTCAAATTTTGCAAGAAACATAAATCACACTTGGGCAAGAATTCTCAAATGAGACATGGATCACAGGCCAACAAACATTCTGTTCCAATTATTTGTTTTGATTTAGATTAATGTTAGGGAAGATTTTGGCAGTTCAATACTGATAAATTGTATCCAGTGGTAAGTCAATATAAATAGATATCTTGCAAAAATTGAATGCAAACTAACATTACCAGCCAACACACTCTTCCGAAAAACTCGTACTGGTAAACTTGAACACTTAAAGTACATGTACATATGCTTCAAATGACCTTATCACTGCAAATACTCCTGGTCATATTTGGTTAACCTTTACTTCAAAAGGCAAATCAAAAACCATTGAGCTATATATATTAAACTACTAGAGCGCTAACTTGCTGTACAAAATGAAGCCTGCTGGGCGCATCCATGTTTGAGGACAAACCTATAAGAAAACAAGGGCGGATCCAGGGGGGGGGGGCAAAGGGGGCCATGCCCCCCCCCCAAAAAAAAAACGAAACCAATTTTTTTTTTTTTATGTGACATCGCAATAAAGGCAGGCAATGAGTACACCACCATCTTTTCCTCAAAAAAACATTGGTTAAAGTGGTCAGAAATTGCCTGAGATTGCACCACAGAGCATCTAGAATCCAAAAAAAATTCGGGGCCCTTAAGCGGGCCCCGAACCCCACGCCGTAATTTTTTGGACCCACTTTTTGGGAGGACCACAAAAAATTTTTGCCCCCCAAAAAATTGTGTTCTGGATCCGCCGTTGTAAGAAAAACCACCGGTTCGTTAGTAAAAATGTCATACACGCACACGCACCACTGATTACTAGCCCATTGGATACAAACACTAGAGCTGCGTTAACTTCCGGTTCCAATCGTGCAGAAAGTGCTGGAGGTGACGTCACACTAACGAACCGGTATCCGGTTCGTTATCGAAGCCAATACGCCCAAAACCGAAACGCACAATCAGTAAATGAGCGTTTCATTTTGCTCTGTGCAAACAATGCAAACACGCATGTTGTACTTGCAGTGCACGTTGCATTCAGAGCCCATAATTTGAAATTCATCCCGTCTCATTTCATGTTCTACAAACACGCACATGAATTCAAAATGTCTGCGCTCCAGACGGCTTTAAAATATCTCCGCGGCAGAATGAGGAGTTAACGCTCTCGTAATTTAATATGCTCTATGGCGGAACTCATTGACACATTTTTTGTGTGAAGTGCTTAAACTTTCTGAGGGAATACAGGAAAATATATTGTGGCGCAATTACTATAGCAGCGTAGTCTAGAGAGGGCGCGCTCGCTGCTGTGGGCCCTATATAAGGCCCCGGGCAACCTCGTCCCCAGTGCTTACTTTATTTCCAACCGCGTTTCCAATAGTAAACCCTGGATAGGAAACTTTCTTCCTGTATCCTGATTGGATACCGCAATTGCCTAGTAATGGATTTTTATCGTGTACTTGGTGCTATATATTCACAACGTGCAGTACGTGTTTTCGCGATCATTCGTCCACGTCTACTCGAAAATACTAATTTCCTTTCCAATTTGCTCATATTAATATGAAATATGATACTGCATGTTGTCTCGATAAGATCGTAAGAGTTTGATTTCAAAAATCGTGTTTTCGTAACTCACGCCGTGCTCGCGCTGGTACGAATTGACTCTGTTTTTACCCCAGACACCGCATACAAAAACAAACGCTAATGTGTAACGCATATCCAGGCACCAGACTGTTCCTCATTTGCATACGTGTGCAAAAATCTTGCACATGCAAATGATCCAATACCAGGGTGAGAGAGCAGGTAGTGGTGGGCGCGTACTGCTTGACACCCTGGGGACGAGGTTGGGCCCCGGGGCAGTTGCGAGACAGACTCAGCTCGGGTAGACAAAGCTCAGACACACGCAGTCACAAATTAGGCTTATCTCAGACACAACCTTCCGAGCGTACGCCGAGATCATCTACGGAGAAGAGACGGTAGGCAAATTAGCTTGCGCGCGTTGACGGGCGTGTTATTCGTTATCAAATTCGTTATCATAGATAATAATGTTGATTCTAATATAAAGTTAATGAACTAATAGGGAATGCAACAATAATTTCAGGAATAAATTGCAGGGCAGTTCCGTCGCACAGCCTCTAACGTTTCACCACTTGAAACTTAGAACTGATAGACACATGGATTACAAGATAAGAGAACTATTCAATTGCCTCATTGATGTTCTCCGAAGTCACCGTGTTAAAATTAGAAAAAGTTTTAACTATGGAAGGCTGTGAATCTTTTCTTTTAAAACTGAGGGAGGAAATATTGCAGTCATATTTATTTTATTGTCAATGTAAAATTGTGTCTTATTTCATTTTGTTCCCGGGTATTTTCTTGTTTCTTTAGTGTGTGTATTTAATGTGAGTGTAGACGTATGTATGTCAACTAGGTTGTTTGTTTTTATGGTTTGCTTTTTTCTCTCTGGGGAATGGGATTGCTTTTGTTTCTCGGTTTTGTTTTGTTTTGTTTGTAATAATCTTTTTAGCCCGTTTGTCATTCATTCCCGTTATTGAGTCTGGTTGTTTGTTTTGTTTTGTTTGTTTGTTTGTTTGTTGGGTTTGTTTGTTTGTTGGGTTATTAGTTCGTTTTTATATTTTTGTATCTGTCTGGCTTGTCCAATGTTTCACTCTATGATTGTTTTGCTGAGTCTTGTCTCATCTCCCCGTCTTGTCTCGTCTCGTCATGTCTCGTCATGTCTCGTCTCGTATGATTTGTACAATTTACTTTTCAATAGTACTTTAATTTTTATGAATGGAATTTTAAATCTGTTTTATTGGCAGTGGTTTGGATAAATGTCTGATGACAATTGTTTTTTTTTTTTACTTTTACATATCCGTGGCAGCCTGTCCAACTTTTAGCTTTTATTTTATGTTTTAAGATTTAAAATAAAATAACTGAATCAAATAAATCAAATAAAGTTTCTTCAAGTCTTTATTACGCTGGAGATTTCCCGATCGCATTACATATGAGAGGCAGCCCAAATAGGCGCGACCTAATCCGGCCAAATTACGATTTGTATACTAGTTTATCTGTAATAATAAAGCATTTTGGCCCCTGCACTTGAGGGTCTGTATTTGTAGAAGTGAAGGGTCCATGTTCCTAAATTTGGATTTCTGAACAAAACATTTGAATGGAATCTATATTGATATGGAGTGGAAGGAATCTGTTTTTTTTTCCAAAATGGCGATGGGGTGATCATCGTTGGAGGGAAAAAATCACCTAAAAGTCATAGGTCAACCCCCCCCCCCAAAAAAAAAAGATTTCCAAAAAGGTAAAGAGGATTAATTCAGCTTTCATTTGATGTATGTTTTGCTCACCTGTGAGGGTTCAGAGTATGTTCCCCGATTTGTTTAAATTGGGTTATTTATCTTTGGTGCCTGGGGAATTTATGTATTGGTGGATTCCCAGCACAACTCCTCACAATAATCCCAGTGTTAACAATATTTCTCGTTGTGGGTCTGAAAATGAAAATTGTCGGTTTGTGTATTATGAATATGATCAAGTGAAATTATTTATGCAGTATTTTGCCCATTTCACTCAAAATTGTATATTGTAATATTGTACATTTTTATCAATTTGCTAGAATATGTGATATCTCACCAACAAGTATCTTTTAACGAAATTCAATCAGAATAATAATCAATTTTAAAAAAAAAATTGTTAGTTGTTGTGTTACTTGTTGGTGTCCCTGCCACTCTGTACGATGGTGTAGCAGTGCGTTATGTACGTGGATTGTTTACTTTCGTTTTGACGGAGACTTTACTGAATAGAGTCTGGTGACTGTAGGCCTACATAGAAATTTCTTTGAATAAAAGTCGAATCGTTCATTCACGTGCACTTGTTATGCAAAGCAGGGGCAGTGGTTCAAGGATATCTATGTCGACTTGCAGAAAGTGTACAAGAACGCGACTTGAATGCTTCTATGTGTTCACAATACAACGACGCTGTTTAGTTATTTCACTGTGTGACACAGTGAGAAATTTTGGAATCATAATGGCGTCAGCGATACTTGCTGGGGAGCTCTTGCGTACGACTTTCTGTACTTTGAAACTGTTGTTTCCAGGACAATTGTGTATACAGTAACCCGACGTACCCAGATTTTTAAAGACGAAATTGCCGACCTCAAACTTGTTAGTGCCATATTTGGCAACTATATGTGCGTTATTAGTTTAATTAAACAAATGAACAGGTTAATTAAACATAGTACCATTTAAGGTACCTAAAAGTAAACATAACAGCATATAAGACCGACAGACGAACATCAAATGTTACAAAATAAACATATTTGTCTGAATAATTTGTTAGGGCGTTACCGGCAAGTTAACACAAACTTGGTGTCAAAAAGATCATGGGAGTTACTTTTCTTTGACTTTTCATACAAGTTTACATAAACTTTAACTGTATGACCTGCAGTGGCGTAGACACGGGGGGGGGGAGGGGGGCGTGGGGGGCGACAGCCCCCCCCCCATGAAACCTTGTCGCCCCCCCAGTCGCCTCCCCCACTGAGATTTTGAGTTTCTAAAAAAGTTATCATTGATCAACATGACGCCCCCCCCCCCATGAAATGTTCCAGCCCCCCCCCCGCCCCCTTACGACCCAACTACACGCGCGTTAATCGATTTTGTGTGACGTATTCTGTGCCGTGTCGCGATGTGCAAGATTTTCGGTCCGTGTGCCGTGGCGTTGCGCAGCAGACAAAAGTTTCAAAATTATTTACGTTAGGCCTAATTCTCTTTTGAAAATTTGCTGGAATTCTCTTGAATGAACTTTTTGGAAAATTAAATAATACTTTATCAGAAAATGTGCTTGATTTGGGGTGCTTCTGGCTGAAAATTGATTTTCTCGCGTGATTTTTTTTTTTGCACGAATCAGTTTTTGATCGGCGATTCGGAACTGATTGAACCGATCCGGAACTAGGAAAAGCGGCATCGGTACTTTTGACGTCGTAAAGTCACAATGAAAAGAGCCTAAATTTGGGAAAATATTTTGTAGTCTCTCGATCACTCAAGGTAAACTTTTAAACCAGTGTCACTTGAATTCGTGGAGTAGTTTAGCCGAAAGCAGCCTGAATTATGTTTGCTATCTGGAACTAGGAAAACGACTGTATGATAAACTAGTAGTATAACTTAATACTCAACTGTATTCGAATTTTTGCACTCCTTAAAGTTAAAGTGGTGTTTCTTCATCAGATTTAAAACTTTTGGGGAAAGATTCCCATATCATATGATATCTGGCCATCAATAATTTTTCCCTTCAGTGAACTCAGCTATCACAGTATCAGCGATCAGAAAGTGAAAATGTGTCGGCCTAAAAACTGTCGGTAAGCATTTACTTGTTTTCTGTTTCTGATTTCTTCTGATTGATGCCACATTCACATAGTAATCCTTACTTTTAGGACCCCTTTCCTATATAAGGTTAAAAGACTCACCAAAACAGCTGACTAAATGATACTCAAAAGTGACATTTTGATATTTATTGACACATTTGAACATTTGGCAATGACACCTCTTGAATATCAGCAGGTTTGATTTTGTAGAAAGAGGGCAAGGTTTTGATTTATGAGGGGTTAAAGACGACGATGACAAACGGAAAATAAATTTAAAAAGCAAGATGGCGAACTGCCAAAAAAGGTAGGAAAGTCACATGTTCTTTGAAAGTGCTGTCAAAATTATAACTAACATGAGTTTGTCTGAAGAAAAAAGACTTCTTTAGCTTCCAAAGTCACTTTGGTACTGGACAGTCATCTGCAAAAGTCAGTTTTGAAAAGAACTCGCACAAAATAGAGGTGTCCTAAAAGTAAGGATTACCATTCAGATAATTATAAAGCTTCCTATATTGTTCAAGTTACTTCTGATAACTCTTAGTGTTTTGTTTAAATTTAAGTACATGTAGGCCTAAGTTCTAGTTTAAACACATGGTTAATTTGCTTGATTTTTTTGCCAGTGGAGCCATTCATTCGTCAGTCAAAGCTGGCAACATCGTTGTACAAAAACTCTCAGAAGGCTCGAAGGTGCCGATAGCCTGGAAAGGCTGGAGATACATAGGACTAGGACTAGGAGCATTTGCTGCCATTGGGTGAGCAAAAGGAGTCAGGAGTGACCACGCCTCATCTCATAGCTCCGACGCCTCATAAGTCCAAAACAGCGCTTGTCCATTGTCGGACTTATGAGGCGTCGGACATGAGGCATTGGACTTATGAGGTTTACAATTTATTTATTCCGCCTCATAGGTCCGACGCCGCATAATTCCGACGCCGCATAATTCCAACGCCACATAAGTCCGAAACAGCATTTGTCCATTGTCGGACTTATGAGGCGGAATTTATGCCTCATAAGTCTGATATTTCATTGTGTATAGTCTTTCCACAGAAGTATATATTTATCAAAGGCCATAAACTTTTCCAAAGTCATATCCTCAGCTGTAATGGTATTTTATCAATGTTGCATCGGTAGATTATGTCAACAAATGCATTACGTAAGGCATGCGTATAACATGTAGTTGAGGTCAAACCTGTCTAAATGGCTGAAACAAATCAAAATTCTGATGTAGAAAAACTTGCAACTCAAATTGCATGTTTTTAATTTTGTAAAGGCAAGTTTGCTGTGTTCCATTATTTCAAATCCAAAATTTATTCACTTTTTAACCAAACAACCAAACAACCTGTTTGTAGACTGTTTTCCCCGCTTATTTTTGTCAATGTCTACAATAATTGGAGCCGGGGTAATTTCAATTAGGGTTGGAATGTATTTAGATACAAAACTTTGACTGACAGCCTTATACTCCAGAAATGCATTCTCATCATTTGCCATTTCTTCCCGGTTTACAAAACAGAATTTCCTACGTATGTGTGGGTCCCATCACACATTACCTCTATCGATGGCTTCATTGGGTTGAGGCACATCTTCCAGGCAAAGACAAAGTTTCTCAGATCTTGAAGGTGATCGTGGACAGACTATTCAGTGGACTGCCCTTCCTGCTGGGATATCTCTACTGCATCAGGAGGTTTGAGGTGAATGAATGTATTTAACCCCAACTCCCCAGCATAATTTACTAGGAACCATACTCATCCAGGCAAAATTCCAACACCCACACTAGGGGCTAGACGGTGTTATGGTTTGATACGCGATACCCTCTTGCCGCCGCAAGAGGGTGCTATCACGACTGACCAATATAGCTCACGGACTTGTCAGAACAACGTCTAAGGAAACTCGTATTGGTTGTGTAATGCCGGCAACAGAATGCAATAGATACCAGCAGGAAGAAACAACATGTGTTTGCACAATCAAACAGAATTCAATATGGCCCTTATTTTCCCATTGCCTGCTGAATGCAACAGACGCCAACGTGATTCCAGCAAGCAAGGTGTTTTCCACTCAATCCAACAGGATCCTGTTGGATGGAGGAGGGTTAGAGTTTCAATTTGCATTTCAAATTTCTCTGCATTGTTTCGCCAGGGCAAAAGTCACCAGACTGCAGTGGATGATCTCGAGCAGGCCATCTGGCAAGCTCTCAAGAAGATCTGGATGGTCTGGACCATGGTCCAGTATGGCAAAATCAATTAAGTCCCACTCCAGGTCAGTAATTCAAACAAACAAAATCTAGGTGTGCCTACGTGTGCCTGAACCCGAATGTCTTACATTAGGACATTTTAACTCAGTGTCTCATTCACTGATTCAGTCAGTTTGTTGAGCAATATTTTGGCATTGACCAATTTTCAAAAATCTTTCAGGATATTTAAAAGGACACTTATTTTATTAATGCAATTTAACATTTTTCAACTTTTCTTTGTATCACAAATGCAGTATCGAGTACTCTTTGCTAGTTCTGTTGCCTTCATCTGGTTTCTCTACATAGCTGTCGTAAGTATACACCTGGACAAAGAAGGCTGTCAACTGAGTTGAAGAAGGCCATCAACTGAGTTGGGCAGGCCTGAAGATTTCGTTTGTAGGTGCCAATTGATGATTCATTCACAACTTGTGTCAGATACCTTGTTAATGTAAATTCATGCAAGGCTGATTCTGAAAAAATGTTGAAGTGCTGATAAGGCCAAAAAAAAAAAGTCTCCGGTTTCTGGTATGGAGCTTGCCCCAAAAGTGGTGCGGCGACGCGTTTTTTTTTTTTTTTTTACCTGTTTTTTTTTTTTTGGGGGGGGGGGGGCTTCAAATGTCGGCTGATGACTGCAAATGGTACCCGCCTAAACTTAGTGCAAATATATGGGAGTCCAGAGAGGCCACATAAATCTTATTCTGGATCATAACCACATCTAAAAACACGTTAAAATTGTGCAGCAGCAGAATTCCAGTCAAACCAGTGAGTTTGACGGTTTTGAAACATCATCTTGTATTGAAAAAAAAAAAATTTCATTTTGCCGACGCGCATGGCTACGGTGACGCACGCGCATACCAGAAACCGGAGACTTTTTTTTTTTGGCCTAACATAGAATCATTGCTCTTTCAATGAGTTCCTATATAGTAACCATCATTCTCAGATGTGATGTAAAAGAAAAAAAAAATTGGCACATCTGTCATAAAGGCATATATACTGCCAGTAGTAATAGTCGTGCAACAATGAAAGTTACTCATTTTCACAATACAATCCAGATTATTAGAATAACAAAGGCCCATCGTTGTTCATGCAAATGAGACTGCAGGGCTTACTGCCGACCCACAAGGGCGGATCCAGAACACAATTTTTGGGGGGGCCAAAAAAAGTTTTGGTCCCCCCAAAAAGTGGGTCTAAAAAATTACGGCGTGGGGTTCGGGGCCCGCTAGGGCCCCGAAAAATTTTTGGATTCTAGATGCTCTGTGGTGCGATCTGAGGCAATTTCTGACCACTTTAACCAATTTTTTTGAGGAAAAGATGGTGGTGTACTCATTGCCTGCCTTTATTGCGATGTCACATTAAAAAAAAAAAATTGGTTTCGTTTTGGGGGGGGGGGCCATGGCCCCCTTTGGCCCCCCCTTGGATCCGCCCTTGCCGACCCATAATTGTTTTTTTTTTGGTTGCCAATTCGGAAGATGTGTCCAAAATGAGTTTCGTCCTTTATTGTACATGTATGCATATCAGTGAATGTCAATGAAATCTTGCTGAAATTTTAAAAACATTCTGCAGGACTGTGTTCAAAGGTAATTAAATCTGGTAACCATGGCATTTTCAAAGTGAGTTTTAAAATATATGTATGTATTTGGGGTTAATTATTAAAAATCTGTTCTGGGACAAAAAATGTCAAATCTTCCCTCCGAGCACAAAAGAAAATGTTAAGTTGTTGTTGAACCCCACTGTAGTACCTCCTCCATGGTAGTACAACCCCTCCAGAGTGAAGTTTTTGTAGAAAGTAACACCCCCATAAAAAAAATTGGAATTGGCCAAAGACAACACAGAGTGCATGTGAGTGTGCCTAGTCACTTTCACATACTTTGGCAAAGTGACCAGAAGTATTCATAACAGTGTTCTCTTTTGTCTTTGCCCAATAGGTATGTACAAATGTTTCTTTCTTTTTATACACATCTAGGTTCCTTTATTTCTGTTGTTCACATTTTCATTTTCTTGGAGTATATACAATCAATGAATTGAGTTGATCAGTTGGTTGGAGGTAAATTGTTCTTTGAATTTGTCAACTTTACTCTTTTGCCAAGTTATTTAGAGATTGACAAGATTGAGATTGACAAGATTGAACTTTGTTTTTGTGATGCTTAGATATTTTCATTATTGTTTGTATATTCACTTTTTGTAACTTTGAATGAGATTTAAGATGATATAAGTTTGATTAGTTTTTAGCAACTGAACTTTAGTTATTCACTTCAGTTATTCATGGAAAGTTTCATTAAGTTTCCTGGATTTGAGGAAAGTTTGGTGAATGTTTGTGGAGTTGATAATTTGTATTTCATTTATTCAAGAAACTGGACCATGTATGTATTTTATATTGTGTTTGTGGATTTTAACATTGAATGCAAGTTTCACCATGTAGCCAAGGAAACTTCCATTGCAAGCATTGAGTGTATATAGATAAGCTGATCCAAGCATGGCCTTGCCACGTTGTGGAGGGTGAATACTAATTGGCTAGCTAGAACAATGACTTGCTTGTGTGTGTTGTATGGAAAGACACAGTAAGGGTAGTACTGGGGGAGCAGTTATATGCCCCAGGCCATTGACTTGGCTGGAGTTGAGCCATACGGTGGAAAGTCTGTTGCTATAGCTACAAGGGTGCTGGCCAGCCTGAGTAATGTGTTTATCATTAAGTCATGGCAGAGAAGAGTTCTGGCAGTTGTGGCCATGATATTTTTAAGTTAAGTTTCCCCTGTAGGTTAGATTGTACATGTAGTTGGCCATTAGTTTTAAAGTGATGTTTCTCCTGAAGTTTGATAGTATTGGCCATACTGATTTAAAGCGTTGTTATTTAGGAAACTGACTTAACCTTTTTCTTGTACATTGTTTGTTTATTATGATGTTTGAATGAACACTTTCACATATTTTAGCAAAGTGATCAGACGTATTCACAACAGTGTTCTCTTTTGTCTTTGCCCAATAGAAATAACGTTACCACATGACAGCTGGGTAACATAAAGTTTACTTTTTTATGATGTATGTATTTTCTATGGTGAATTGCAATAAATATATTTGATTTTAAGAACATGTCGATGTTTCTGCTTTTTCAAACATTGTGTGATGTATGTCAGTTAAAGTCAAGGTGTTGGTGGAAAATTTCAAGAATTTTTGTGAACAGTTTTCCTTCTGAAAAGATTACATTGACACCACAATTGCATATTTCAATTCAAATTTATTTATGCCAGTATTAAGTGATTATTATGAATATTAAATTACAATAGGTAGATGCCACAAATGAAATAAAAAGAACACAGGCAGTAAAACAAAGACACATAATCGTGCATGGTGATGATCACAGAAAAGTTTGGGGAAAACAAAAAGGGTTAGAAAAGGATAGATCAGTTAATTTGACGCAATTAAAAAGTAAGTTTCGGACAAGTGGACTTGGCATATCTTATGAATTTTTTTTAGTATGGACACTACGAAGTATTTTTCAAAACTGGTAAAGAAATCTATTCCAGCTTCACTTCATTCTGGGTAGTGAGTGCTTGCAAATAAAATTTACGTTTTAAACTTAGGCTTTCAACTCGGGCGTCCTGTAAAATTGCATCCTTTCCCACAACACTGCCTTCACTGCCCCATAAGGCCACAAAAAAAAAGTCTCCGGTTTCTGGTATGGAGCTTGCCCCAAAAGTGGTGCGGCGACGCGGCTTTTTTTTTTTTTTTCACCTGTTTTTTTTTTTTTTTTTGGCTTCAAATGTCGGCTGATGACTGCAAATGGTGCCCAACTAAACTTAGTGCAAATATATGGGAGTCCAGAGAGGCCACATAAAGCTTATTCTCGATCATAACCTTGCTAAAAACACGTTAAAATTGTGCAGCAGCAAGATTCCAGTCAAACCAGTGAGTTTGGCGGTTTTGAGACATCATCTTGTATTGAAAAAAAAACTTTTTCATTTTGCCGACGCGCATGGCTACGGCGACGCGCGCGCAAACCAGATACCAGTGTTTTTTTTGGCCTAAAGAACCTTTCTTTTTTTGAGTCTGGAGTCAGAAATGCACTTTATTGACAGAAACACATCTAAATCCATACAAATACCTGGGTAAGAATGCCTACCACTTTCCACTGGAGTTAAAAATCGGATCAAGAAAGAAGAATTCACACTATTCAAAACAGCTTTTCCATAAAAAAAGGATAGATAAAAACCAAAGCATCTACTTGCTAGTTAGCTACATTATGCTTTGTATGTACAATATGATATTGCTTTAATACACTGTAGCGACCATACACCCCTATGGCAGCGACCGACAGAGAACAAACAATCTTCTGTTCAGTGTCCTCTCACTTGAACTGGCCGATGATAAAAAAATCAACCCGTTCAAAACTGTACAAGACTGGTTTACTGGTTTGAAATTGCTTGCAGGAACATCTTTATTTAAAGCTGTAAAAAGCAGTTTAAATTCTTTCATAACGTTTAAAATTACCTCTGAGAAAAGGACAAACATTGGTCATCTTATTGGTAATTTTTTCAGGAACATAAAACTTCACAGAATTTTATTTCCTAAAAACTAGAAAGTCATGTCCGATACACTTCAACTCTCCTCATGAAAAATGAAGAACAAAAAAGATGTTGTGATCAAAAAATTTAGAGCCAAGTAATATATGCTGTATCAAAACCAACTTTATCTTTCTTTCAAAAAATGTTGGTGATCACACCATCATAGAAATCACACTGTACACTTTTATAATACATTTCTGTAACGTAGGTGCTACCACCTCCAACCAATTAAACGTTCTGTTAATAAGTAATAAGTATTATAAGATTTTGCATTATTTTTTTAACGATATTCTCCGACAAGAGTTTACGTAACTCCCATTGGAAAATCCCAGCTCGTTTTAGTAACCGCTAAGGAAAAAAAAATTCCACACACACAAAAAACACCCCCTCCCAATATGCTTTTTAACGCTATTACCCCTCTCGGTCCCTAAAGCAGCAATAAAAAAAAGGTTATCGATGCTTTTACGCACTCAACCATAAAAAGGAATGTATCAGAGTAGTTTGGTCAACCACAATACGTACTTCAAAATTAATAAATAACAAAAGTGACTAGTTAGGCTACTTCACTGCAAGTTAGACACAAAATACACCCTGAAGTCTTATTTCAGGTTTTTTACTCCTTGTTGCACAGGTCCCGGTCTGAGTGGCATCTTTCTGAGTTCAACAACAATTTTTTATAAAGTGTAAAAAAAAGAAAAAAAAGATACAATACAAATCAGCAAACACTGACAAACAAATCATTTCAAATGCAGCAATGAGTCTTATATACAACACAGCTACTTTCATGTACCTCTTTCTTTTGAACTCAGAAGGATTCCGTGAGATTGCCACATTTTTAAATTTCGCTCTCAATTTTTGCAAGAAACATAAATCACACCTTGGCAAGAATTCTCAAATGAGACATGGATCACAGGCCAACATACATTCTGTTCCAATTATTTGTTTTGATTTAGATGATTAATGTTAGGGAAGATTTTGGCAGTTCAAAACTGATAAATTGTATACTGTGGTAAGTCAATATAAATAGATATCTTGCAAAAATTGAATGCAAACTAACATTACCAGCCAAAACAATTCAACACACTCTTCCGAAAAACTCATATTGGTAAACTGGAACACTCAAAGTGCATTTACATGCTTCAAATGACCTTATCACTGCAAATGCTCCTGGTCATATTCGGTTAACCCTAACTTCAAAAGGCAAATCAAAAACCATAGAGCTATATCAAATTACTAGAGCGCTAACTTGCTGTACAAAATGAAGCCTGCTGCGCGCATCCATGTTTGAGGACAAACCTATGAGGAAAACTCAGTACGGCTATTTGCATATTCTGCGTTTGTATTCTATACCGGTGCGTTATCGAAGCCGATACGCCCAAAACCGAAACGCACAATCAGTAAATGAGCGTTTCATTTTGCTCTGTGCAAACAATGCAAACACGCATGTTGTACTTGCACGTTGCATTCAGAGCCCATAATTTGAAATTCATACCATCTCATGTGATTATGTTCTACAAACACGCACATGAATTCAAAATGTCTGTGCACAGGACGGCTTTAAAATATCTCCACGGCAGAATGAGGAGTTAGCGCTCTCGTAATTTAATATGGCTCTATGGCGGAACTCAGTGACACATTTTTTGTGAAGTGCTTAAACTTTCCGAGGGAATACAGGCACATATATTTTAATAGGATCAACACCGTTCTCAATCCTGAAAAATCCTCCAAAATCTAAATGCGGATTTTGAATGGTCCGGAAAGTTAGGGTTGAGCTTTTGTTTCGACTGGTAATGAAAGTTAAAAGCTGGCTACGGCTTAATGTCACCGCTCATAGCTACTACGGCTGTAGTAGCTGCGGCTGTGACTGCCCGAGCGCGACCGGGACCGTGACCGCGACCCCGAGGGGCTGTGAGAGGGGGTGCGTGAGGGGGATCGACTGTAGGAGTGGCTGTCATAAGAGAAGTAGGAGCTCTCGCTGGTGGAGGGGCTAGCCGGGGCTGGACGATGGTACGGGATGGGCAGCTTGCGGGCGCTGTTCAAAGAAACACAATCAAAACGGTTGTCAGACTCTACACAATGGTTTCAGTAAAAATGAAGTTAGTTGCATTGTATGTCAGAGCAAAACACATGCTTGGATTTTCAACCAGAAGCCGCTCGGGCTCAAATCAAGTGCATTCTTTTTTTCACAGCTTGATAGTCTCAGACTTGTCTTCAGGTTTATATTTGACTCGGAATTGCCTTAATTGTCACTCTATATTAAATTCAATTTGATAACAATTTTGGGTTGTTTCTCACATAAGTATTTATTGTAATTTAACTTAAACCATGCCATGGTGCAGCAAAACAAATGAAATGCTTAGGTGGTTTTTTTCTAATATACTATAAAAATTTCATCATTACTGCATTTGTGTTTTATTCATTTGAAACAAAATAAGAAAGTTTGCGAGAACATGTGAGCCAAAGAATTAGGATGGGAAGAATTTAAGAATCCCCCCCCCCCCCGCCTAACCCCTCCCCTCTCCAACATGTCCAAGAAAAAACCTTCACATTTGACAAGATATTTAAGCAGTTTGGTATTAACATACATCCCTGTTTTAAAGATCTGCTATGAAGAAAGCAGTGCTTTTTAAAATATAGTTGCTAAACAAAAAATTAGCTGAAACGGTCCAAGGCATTTTAGCCAGCAGCCCGTTTCTGCTAAGCATTTATTTCCACTCAGCAATTTTGTGTGCTATTCAGAATTAATCCAAATTCACACACAATGGTGATGTTGCAAGATTAATAGTTTTAACTACGTGGTCAGTAAAAACACTGCAATGAGAACTAAATGGTGAGGCTAATTTTTTTTTTTTTAAATAGTGCATGAATTTAGAGAGCTAATGTTCTACAAATGGTTTTGCGGCAAGCTACATGTTACTGATGATTGAAATCTTTATAATATAAGTGGAATTTTCAGAGACTACAAGTTAGTTGAATGCATGGTCGTCAAGAAAGCAAAACTGTTGTTAAAGCTGTGAAAATGAAATTGGCAGTTAGTACATGGCATTATTAAAGGAACAGTTATGTCATGGTAGCTGAAAACAATGTGCCTTCTTATACACTCAATGCTGAGTTTACATAAGAAATCTGGCTTTAAACGTACTGTCATAACATACATCCAATGAAGAAAATATGTTGCCAATTTTTTGCTCTCAAATTTTGGTGTACAATTCTGTACAATTGGTCAGGAAATGAGTAAATTAAAATAATTGTGGTTAAAATGTTGTGAGTTACAGTGGTGTTCTACTGTTTTTTCTTTTTGCATTGTTATGACAGTGGTAAGTCCTCACAAGTCCATCAAAAATCAATCACAAGTCCATCAGAGATAAGCTATTCAAATGAACTGTGGCAAAGGCATTTCTTTGTCCTTGTTCTATCTCCCCATTATTTCTGGCCCTACTTGTATAGTCAGACCTTTTCACACTGTTGCCTCTCAACCCAGGTTGAACCCTGCATCGTTTCACACTTGTTTCGTGCAAACCGAGTTTATTTCGCTCGGTTATTTTGAACCCTGGCGAAAGTTTCAATGAGATGAAAATCTCAACCCTGGTCTGGAGCAGGGTTGAGTTCAACCCGGTGTGAAATCAATCTCCAGATTAACGCAGGGTTGGCGCAGGGTTGACCCAGGGTTGAAAATGTTCAAGTGTGAAACCCCGCATGTTTTCCACCCTGCGTCAACCCCACATCAACTTCGAGATTTGTCTAGTGTAAGATGGCTTTAAGTGACTTGTGATTGACTTGTGAGATGTCACTGGCTAGTGATTAACTCAGCTACATGTACAAGTCTGTGAACACAGCAAACTGAACGTTGGTTAGAAAACAAGCAAAGATGGAAATGGTGACACAATCCTGAAAACTGAATGTACGCCGATTGCGATCAGCGTGTGGTGGTGTAAAAAGATGAAGAACAACGGTGACCTGCTGGGAAAAAGGCAGTTAATTGATGAGTTAATAACTACACATACAAAGTCAGCTGTTGAGTAGTATCTGGTAGGTTTACAAGTCAGTTGCATACAGCAATGTTTCATTGCAAACTGGTACAGCAAACTTGAAGTTTGGGTTAAAATTAGTTGCTACTTGTCAATTAAAAGTTTACTTCTAAAACAAATGTTGTTAGAAAAATATTATAAGTTAAAAACTAATTTTTAAATGTTAAGTTCAACTGAGTTGTTAGAATGTAAAGATATTCACATGATCACATCAAGGTTGAATTTATTTTATGAATCAAATCTATCTGTTCACTACAATGGAACTGGTTAGGGTGTTAATTGTCTGCTTGTGTCAAGGTGCAGTGCATGCATTGCGAATAACAAGCATTGGAAAGGAAATTCATAACAACAGAACAATGCCACAACTTTCTTTAAAAAAAAGGGGGGGGATCAGACTAGTCAGCTCCTGGACAATTACATGTACAAACCACCAACACAACATGCAAGAACAGAGGGGCAGATCAATGGATGTGAAGTAAGGTACCAGACTTATCCAAGTCAACACATGCATGGGTTACTATTACCATGAAACAGTAACAATTTATGGAACTGGAAAAAAAAATGTTACACACTGATCTAATGAGAGAACTACAATGTACTGCAAATTAAACATAAGCATTTATGAATAGTGTTCTAATCTCAATGCTAACACAAAATGCATGTTTAGATTTCGAGTCCTGATTATGAACCAGAAACTGTTCCAACCCTTCCTTTACAAAATGGCACCGAAAGTTAACAGAGTCACGTACCCACAGGTACTTTGCAGCAATGGTGCTTAAGTTCCTTCCCATTTTTTTCATCATTTTGGGGAATATTGAGCCCTTACTTCAGAGTGCCACATTACTAAGAAACACAATTGAATTTCTGATCTTGTTTGAATGACAAGGCTGTACTACTAGTGTTGGAGAGCTAGGCAGGTGGATGAAAACGTTGACTCAACGCAAAAAATACCCACAAAACGTATCATCAAAGATAAAATGGTTAAATATTTCTGCTTTCCATAGAGGCCTAGATGATATGGCAAGAGTACTATCTGAAACAAAAATTGTTGCAAAATTTCCCCTTGGTTTTCCTTCCCCAAAACAACCAATATCATACAGGACGTGATCCTTAAATTTGTTAAACATTTGGTTAAACTTTGTTGCTAAAATTACTCCTTACCAAAAACAAAAACATTTGCTAAAAATGAATTGCTGATATCATCAGTGAAGTGAAGCATGTGAGTACAGTATGCAAGAAATACAAGGGCATGCAATGGTTTGATGAAGGTATGCATGAAGATATGTAGATATGTAGACCAGCATTCAAATTAATATTCTACTCATGAATATGCATGATGTGCAGCCCAGCACCAGATGATGGTATTAATGCATGCTGAACACAATGTAAACATGGTCATGAATATGTATGAATGGCCCCACACCAGAAAGGAACCTTTTCATCCATTTTGAAAAAAAAACCAACTGATTTTCAACTGAAAAACACAACAGTTGCCAACACTTATTGCTTGACATTTTAGTATACATGTAGCTTCAAGTTCACAATTTGCTGGCCTAAAGAACTGTGTAGGCACGATGAATTGAAAATGATGTATTAAAGCCAAAGTCCATCATTTGCAGCTATCCAAAAAAGTAACCGGCGTAATTATTGTTGAAAAACATACTGGTTGAAAGATAGTAAGGGGACTACACTCCCTGTGAAATTATCCTTTCTGGCAAGCTCTCATTTTGAAGAAATCAACGAAAGAAGGCATTTCCAACGGTGCTTCTTAAGAAGCACCGTAGGAAAATTTAAATTAGTTGTTCGTTTTGTTATTCGGCGCAGCGCGCACAAGCATTGGAACGACGCACAGGCGCGCGCGGTTGCTATAATTCGTTGGATCAGTGCGCAACCTCGCGTAAAGCTGCAATTCAAAACAATTCGAAACATGATTTGAATAGCAACTTTTGATTTTAAATTGAGATCCCAGAAACCTGTTTTTCTCGGAATATGAAGCTGAAGCTGAGCTGAAACTTCATCAAGTAAGTTGTTCAGTATCCTTCATTAGATGTTGAACACTTTTGTTGCTTCAAACGAACAAAATGCACTAATTACAAATGATGGACTATAGCTTTAAATAAATGTTGTATCATGTACAGGAATGTTTGAAGAGCTAGTACAGTCTGCACAACAGCTATGTACATGCACATGTAACGTGTCTGCCAATTTTTTTTACTCATTGTAAAACGGCATTTGGAAGATTGTCTTTCATTTTTGGAGAATACATGCAATGCCAAAATAAAGGTCTTTACTTTCAAAACTGTTGTCCAGAAATTAATGAATTCTAGTGATGGTTCATTTTTGTAAAATGAAGGCTCTTTCAAACATTCCTGTTAAACTTATGGCGATGAATTGTAAACTTTGGTATGGTTGTTAGTTGGGCGCAACAAATTAGTGGCATTCATCCTCCAGGCGCTACCACGGCAACTTGGAAGTATTTATTTTAGCAAAAGTCCGCAAGATTCTCTCAAGATGCTCGGATGAAGGAAAACAAAACTGTTTAAAAACCAACAAATCCAAGATGGCGGATTTGATCTCATACACACATCTTTGCCGTTGAGTCCTCAGAGGGGCGGTGCGTATTTTAAGTCTATCTTCTGTAGCGATCCCGCCCTCTGGATCGGGATCGGCTGCGACTGTAGCTCCGGTTTCGCCTCCTGTCGCTGCTGTCGTGGTAATAACGGTCATCTCTGTCTCTACCTGGGGACCTTTTATTTACATACAAAACATCGATTTTGTGAAGAGAATGATAGGAAACAATAATACCACAAGGGCAGTACCAGTGATAAGACAATGAACAATGCCAAGCCGTTACCACCAATGAAAAAATAAAATACCTCACTACGTGTGATGCTCAACGAATGGCAACAAAAGGTACTTGTACTTCAACATCAATATTCAAAAGAATAGGGAAAAGCTTATCACAACTTACACAATTTTCACCAGCGAGAAATGAAAACGCACAAAGACGAATGATGTCACATGCATACTATTCACTTGTACACAACACTTGTACAGCACACAGACATGTAAAAGACTTTGTACAATGTTCAACATAAATCCTTGGTATAAATTATATCTGAATACACACAGTCCAATTCACACAACGTGCTATCACTCGTCATATAGTGCAGTATAGTGTGCAATTCTAATGTGGTTGGATGTTACTCAGGAAAAACACAATCATCAGATTCCTGTGGAGTTTTTATTACAAATGCTACACATTAGTTGTCACATCATCTTTTGACGTATACTTGCCACTATCTTTTTTTTTAATATAAATATATTAGTCTGGTAAAGTACACATTCCCTTGCCAAAGCCAGGTTCTCACTTCACAGAAAATTGTCGAAAAAAAATTGTGAAAGTTACAAGAATTTTCCCAATAGATTCTTTCTTGCAATGACTGTTTTACATTTTTCAACATGAAATCAACTGTACATTTGTAAATGGCTGGCTTTGACGGTCACATGACAGCCAGCTTCATGTCAGCTGCTAGCATCTCCTAGGTTAAAGGTATCTATTTAATGTAAAAAAAATTTGAAAAGATTCCCAAACATTTCATGAGCTTGCTTTTCTGTCAAGGAATGTAGCAGACTCAGAAATGCTTGAGTGTAGTGTTTGTACGCAGTGTTTCCCAAGTATAAGGGTACAATACTGTGAAAGCACAGTGAAGGAATCTGACTGTGGCAAGAGTCAGTGACCACGCTCAAATTGAAAATCACAAATCATTTTGGATCACACTTTCTTGACCCCTGACCTAGATAATTAGCTGTGTGACCCTTGACCTGCCGCGACCCTCTCACCTGGTTATTCTTCGGCGATCCAGGAAGCTCGGGGAGTTGCGTCGCTTGCGGATCGGTGAGAAGTCCTTTCTCTTCTCGGCTTCGGCGGTAGTCTTGGAGGAGCGGCCTGGGGACGGGGAGCGTCGTGAGTAGCTCGGGGAGCGAGTCCGCCGCCGGGAAATTGGGGTTCGGGATCTTGTTCTGGCAGGGTGAGAAAGAGGCGTAATTAGGATTAAGGATAAGGCTACTGAAAAATCACTTTGTTGAGTTTAGTGGCTGCATGGTCTGGAGTGTCAAACCCAAAATCGGGTGAGTACCTTCAGAGGGGGAGGGTTTGATATTATGTCAATAAAAACAGGGTCCAATTTCATGGCAGTGTGGAACAGTTAGCAGAAAAGTTGAGCTTACTATTGCAGAAAATAGTGCGAACCTTCAGCACTATTTCATAATGTGAATGTGATAACTGCTGCGCATAGAGATTGCTCTTGTTAATTACGTCACTGTTTTAAGCAACTTTTCCCTGCGAGGTAAGCGTACCTTTTTCTGTGCTTAGTGCTTATGGTCTCCATTAAATAGACGGATCGAGGCTCTGTTAATACGAAAAATCCTCTCATATTAGCAGCGCCGTGAAATTAGGCCCTGGGCCAACTTCAGGGCGCTGCTTAGCAAAAAAAGGTTACCAGCTAAGATCTCATGCACTGTATATTGCTTGTGACTGGTACTCAGCTTTTCTTTTGCTTAGCATGTACATTTTTAAAGCAATATTTCTTCACTTTGCAACTTCATGAAATTTGGTGCTGCTGTTCACAGCTGAATTAAAATTAAACAAAATTGCTTTGTAGAAGTATTTTTGGCTCCGACTACTCACCTGCTACGACTTCTTGAACGTCTGCGCGGGCTCGGACTCCAAGAGCGCCCTCTACGGGAGGGTGACTTGCTGTAAAAGTGAAAAAAATGCAAACGCATAATGAACAATTATTTACTGTCCAATGACAAGCGGAATCAAGTTGCAAACTGGCATTTGCCACTCCTTACACCCCGGTAGAATTTTACCCATGTACGGCATCTGTCTGGAAGTTGTTGCCTGAGGCTTGCTTCCTTTCATCTTATGATCCGCTCTCCTCCCAAGACAAATATAATTTTTTTTCTAAATGATTGAATCTCTTTTCAGTTCTTTTCTCTCTGATTCCCTGCACTTTTCTTTATAGCCTTCTACCTTAAAGGGAATATATTTGCTGTAATGTTCATAAATGGATGGATTTGGGGGTTAGTATTTTATAGCAAATATTGTTACACTGACTTTTTTTGAAGTTTTGTGTTCGTAGATGCTGGAAATCAAATTAGGTGTTTTGGGGATTTTTGTTGTTGTTTTTTTGCCCTTCACAGACGTTTAAACACTATATACTCAGTGTGTTAGATGCTGGAAATTCAAGAAAAACAATCATGTTCCTGTAGTTTGAATCCCTGACTCCACTTAATATGAAACGGAGGAATTTAGGGAATTGTGAGGTCAGTGAACCAGTCTAGCTGGCTTGTACCCATTCATAGGTGTGTAATCGATTGCAAACAACATGCGGACTAAATACTTAGGTAAATTGGCACCCCGACAACTTTCCTTTATAGCCTTGAGTGGCTTTCAGCTTTGTATAGGGAATCTTGCATTAAAACAATAGTCAAGCTAGACTTAATTCCCACCTGTGATGTGATATATGATGTTGAAAAAGGTTCCCCAAACCTGTGATTTCGCCTGCCATTTCTGAACTGAAAACTGTCTTTGTCATTTAGTCTTGACATGTTGCTTTAGCTTGCAAGCCTCAGTGCACTTTCTGTTTGAGATATTTTGAAGAATTCTCAGTATCATTTCAAGATTTTTTTGTTTTGTCCCACGAGTATGAAACACAAACCTGATGTCCCTCCTTCTCTGGGATCGCTCGGAATCTCGTTCCCGTGGCGATTTCCTGGGTGTCGGTGAGCGCGACCTCCGTCTGTGACTGCCGTTGCGCGGGGGGCTGTCGGGGGAGCGTCGGGACCTCTTGCGGGAGTTGGACCGGGAATGGCGGGACCGACGCGGCGAGGGGCTGCGAGAGCTTCACGATTAGACAGAAACAATACAAGAAGGAAGTAGTCATGAACAGCGTAGTAGTCAAGTCCATCACAAGTCATCACAAGACCATCACAAGTCCTCACAAGACCATCGCAAGTCAATCACTAGTCATCCAGTCCCAATTCAAGTAACAAGTTATTGGGATGGACAAAGGCACTCCTGTGTTTTTGTTCATTATGTTACTTGTGACCAGAGACAAACTTTGTGATTTACTTGTGACTGGACTTACGATAGATGTGTGGCGGACTCTACAACACGTAAAACCTGAGGTATTGTAAAAAAATTCATATCATTTGATTGTGCACAACATTGTTGATCTGCCAAAAAAAAGTTATACCTGTTTAAGAGAAGATTAGAATGAGGAGTGACTACAAACAAAAGATCAACTCCTCCATTTTTTCAGCCACTCTGGAGTCCTGTCAATAGACATAAATACACAATGTTCTTCTGCCTGTAATCAAATTATGTTTGAGTCGACCTAGATCGCTCTAAATAAACTTTGGTTCAACTAGACTCTGGAATGCCACACTGAAACGGATGTAATGTAACTGTATACAGATGCAACGTTTGAGTTCCTTTTCAGTTTGTGTAGTACTGTATGCATATAATGAAGGTCATATGTATACATGCAGGATAGTATGGGGGTATAGTTTAGTGTGGCGGTACTTTCATCGTCTTCCAACGCTGTGACCCGAGTTCAAATCCCACCTGGGCCAATACGTGTATGTGAATTGGGTTTTCAGTCCCTACCCGATTCCGTGGGCTTTCTCCAGAATATTCTTCTGGGTTTTCCTCCCACCTCTAAAACTGTAATTTCTTCTCATTGTCTTCTCTTTGCAGGCTTCATCAGGCTTGCGAGCTACAGTGCCTAGGGCGCATTGGAGGAATCCTTTGTTTCATTACCAGAAACAAATATGTATAAGGCCAAAAAAAAAAATAAGTCGGTCTCTGGTCAGCACGCGCGTCGATTTTAAGCATGCGCGTCGATCTTTTTTTTTTCCAAAATGTTCCGCAGTAGCTCCAACAGCGCCCTCTATTACCACACCTCCTCAATTTTTTTTACCAAAGAGCACCAAGGAATGGGAAATTGCACCAAGGCAAATGATCGAAAGCACCATGGCAAATTATGGAGGACACCAATGTACACGAGGACACCAAAAAAGCAAAATAGTACCCACCTTGTCTGTACAATCCAAGCTTTAAAAAAAAAAAAAAAAAAAAAAAAGCCGCGTGGCCGCGTCAATTCCGGAACTTTGGTCTGACCAGAGACCGAACATTTTTTTTTTTGGGCCTAATAACAATAATAGTAAAAAGTCAACCATGAAGGTCAAGACTTGCCTCTTTGAGATTAAAGCTTGGTGTTACCCTGTATGTACTGTGATTTGTTTCGATTGTACCAGACCCTTGTGAGGAATCATTGTTTTTACCTTTTGCTGTCTGAGTCAGAGTAGTCACTGCTGTCTGAGCTGTAGTCAGACAGCGAGTCGCTGTAATGGCGTCGGCGACGACTCTTTTTGTCCCCGTGATCTGAGGACCTGAGGGGAAAAAAAACAAGTTAAGGAGAAGGTTTTAGTTGTCAAGCACAAATAACTGCAGCTATTCAATAACAGTCAGTTCATCTGAAAATTCACAATGTAGTCAATTTTTGCACGATGTACACACGAGTCAACTCACTTTTTGCTGTGGTGCTTCTTATGTTTGCGTTTTGAGCGGCTGCCGGACCTGTGGTGATTTAATAAACAATTTGCAAATTATTTCCAATAAATGGAAAAATGTTCAAAGAGATCAATACCTGGATAACCATACAGAAAAAGATAGGGATAAAGAAACAAAAAGAGACACCGTTATTGGGCTAATCAGGTATGCATTTTTATATTTTGAACTATGCTGACCACTAATGCACTATCCCTCACTAAGGAAGCCATATTAGTTGCTACCAGTGGTAAATTTTAACAGAGAACAACAAAATGTGCAGAATGGTTTCATGGTTGGCACAAATGTGCTGAGTTGTGCTCAAATGTGACTACATGTAGGTGGCTGAGATCAGCAAAATTTGGCTACAGTTGTCAGGGATGGCATAAGCCATGAGTCAGCTCTCACAGATACATCCATGCATATGGTTCTATGTACGACACACATAAATATGCAAAAAGTAGGCACATTAGTGCAACGGTGCAATCAAAAAAGTGAGTTGTGCTCCCTCAAACAGTGATTTCATTTACATAAGCTTTAAAACACTGTTACAGAATCAAGCATAACACTGCGCAGCGTAACTACAGATAAGCTTGCTTTCAACCTGTGTTTACTTTCTGTTCACTTGATGTATGCAACATGACGGTGTATGAGTTCACCCCAAAACCAAAGACTAATTTTAAATTGCTCATGATGAAATTTAGAAAGTGAAATGCAGAATGAAACAGACCAAAGCAAGAAACATGAAATCGTAAAGAGACAACCATCAATGACGAGTTTTGAGCAGATTTTTTTTCTCTCAATCGATGTTGCAGAAAGGGCCAGATCATAAAATTATCACAGAAATACTTGTGTACAAACATGACAAAGTGGCAGAAAAGATGGAATTCCTGGTAGAGTGTGCAGTACATGCTAAAGCAAGGGGCCAATTGGCACTGCTAAGCATGTAAACATGATGAAAATTGGCAAAGCACTGAATGCAATAGCTTTGTAAATAAACTTACCGGCCAAAGTTCATGTGAGAGTTTTATATTAATTGTGACTGGTTTCCCTTTTTTCTTAAAGACATATTATACACAATGTACATATGTATGTGCTACGCAATGTCTTCCACTCTGCAGCATCATCAAATTGTATCTTGGTGTGTGCATAATTTACAAGGATATCCATTTTAAGGGTACAAAAAAGCTCTGTACATAAAGTGATCAGGAAGGAGGGTATGGTAAATGTGAGGCGTTCTGGCAAATGAGATGGAACTGGGCACAGGCCGTAGTGGAGAAATATGCAAAAAACTGAATAGGGTTGATTTTTTCCAACTTTCAGATGTATTCATATTTGTAATCTTTGATATGTCTACTACACATACTTTAAAGAAATATTTTTTAAAAACGTGGAATAAAATTGTTTTTATGGAAAAACAATTGGCATCTTTCATTTTCATGAATACAAAACTCCAAACTTTATGGGCATTTTCTCAGTATTATACTATCTCGACATGTTGATAATTGTGAACTTTAAACAGCCGCAACTTGTCAACGGAATGTCCCGTTAAAGTGCAACCAACAGTATTGTATAAAGAATGTTATTCTTTTTCGTAACACCCACAAAAAGCTTAAATCGACCTCTGCCCAGTTCTGTCTCATTTTGCCAGAACGCCTCACAAACATCCAAGTTGGGGAGAAAAGGCAGTCTAAGTTGGGCAGGAAAGCGATCAAGGTAAACTTCACATTCACACCAATGCCAGTATTACATGTAAGTCAGGCAATCGGACAAGAGCACGAAAACAAAGTAACTGTGATTCACTGAATAAAATGTCTACTTGATTTTGTTTCCAACAACACTGCATGCACCAAAAACAAAATGTATAAATGCAAAGGGAAAATGACATCAACTGCTCAATACTAAGCACACACGTGATATACTCTGCTACATGTCTAGAGTTACTCTAAATACCTGTGTTTTTTACTCTTTTTTCCTGATCTGAAAGCAGCGTATTAATGTGACAGGGAAAAGACGGGAAAAGAAAACTTGTTAATAACCAGAGTTTGACGTTACAAATAACCCATAGATAACCAGAGCTCTGTTTAACATGAAGTTGGTTTAACAGCGTTTTTTTTAGCTTAACCTGGTTTAGCAAGGTGTGATTTTTAAACCAGTTTATAGTTAAACCGGTTTATAGCAGCATTTCAACCCAAGTGAAAGACAAGATGACAAGAGGGGTTAGGTGAAGGTTGAAAACACTTTTTTTTTTTAGTTGGGTGACAAAGTTAACAACACAAGCACCAATAAAAACCATGTAAGTGCAATGAGAAGGAACAAAAAGCACAGCAAGATTAAACATCCCTACTTTCTCATAAACACATTTATTAACCTACCACAATTTTTAGTATTCATTCCAACACCATTACATACATGTATCAAACCCTTTCAATGACATCATGGATTTACATATAAGTAACAAGGAAAAGGTTGTTTGCATAAACAAAATCGACTAATATGAAGAAATACAAAAAAAATACAGCACAAACAAATTAAAGATGAGCGAAAAGTTGAAGGTAGTAATGAGGGAAAGGTGCATACAAGAAATCTTGAAAAACAAACGTAACTTAACAGCACAGGCATGAGATGGTGCAACCAGTTGTCAATCCATGTACAAATGTTTCTGCCATTGTTTTCTTACAATGAAAGTCATCGTGGCTATTTTTCGCATGTTTAACAATCATTTCAATCATTTGGAAATAAAGGATATTTTTAAAGCTGAATTCATAACACTGACTGTAAGTTATAGCTTTTCAACTTGATTAATCTATTTTCTCCTTCATATTCAAGAAAATGTTAAACATGTGAGATCATACCGATTTTTTGTTTTTACGTGCAAAATGTACAGAGCCAAGGAAAATGACGGAAACATTAGGTACAGTACAATGATTGACCTGGCGCAACGTTCATCTGTACATGAGAAATGCAAGCAACAGACTCTCCAAAAAAAAAAAAAAATGGCAACAAAAAGGAAAATGGTGATGTTGGGGGGAAAAAAAGCACACCGTTAAAATTTGCTGAGTGCATTTGAAAAGGTTTATACAAGAAAAAAAATACAAAACAAGAAGATAGTGCAAGTGAGAAGTACAGTTAGTGTCTGTAGTTATTACCTTGGGCTTACAAGCCTGCGCGGGCTGTTTTTTAGTATGCTCCGGTATAGATGAGGAGAATAGAGCGACAAAATAACAAACATGCACACGTGATGAGGGTGGGTGATTTTTATTGTTGCTTTTTCGTGATTCAGGTTGTCAAAAAAATTACGAACCAAAAAACAAAAACAAAACCAGAGCTGAAGATGTTTGTGTCTTTGGTTCTATATGGAGAAGAAATGTGGTTCCAACCCCAAATTGCAAAGTGCTTGGAATTTTCGGACGGGACTAGAGTTACAAAGTTTGAAGTTTTTATTGCTTTGCAGTTAGAAATTAGACTTGTCGAAGACCTTCCATCAACACATTTCTACCGTGGACCTTTTTTTCTACTTGGCACCCCTGGACCTTGTTCTTTAATACATCATGTCGCTTTAACACTAAATAAGACAGCCAGAATAGGAATGCTTGCATCAGATTGTTACACATCTATACAATTTATTCACAAAATATATATTGATTACATAATCTTTACGTGACAAAGTTTAAAGGGACAGAACTTTTATTTTCATTTTTTTTTTTAACAGATCATCCCTGTGGCTTGAAATGTTACCCAACAGAATGAGGACTGCAACAGTAGGGAAGGTAGAAATCTTACAGTCTACAAATGCAACAGTCTTGCAAAGTTAACAATGTTGTAAAACAGGTACTGTTTTTCTTCAAGTAAGCTGAGCTATTCCGGGAGAGGACTTAAAGGGCCAGAAAGGTAAAGTGATTAGAATTTTTGCAAATATAAATTCCCTTGAAACTGGTTGAGGGCAAGTGAATTTGCTGAAAATTTTCAAGGTTTAAATTTGCTCTGAAGTGCGGAAATGACACCTACCGGTATATGTTTTGTGCATGTACATAGGTTAAACAGGAACAGATTCTTCATGTAACATGTCAAATTTCAAAACAAATTTTGAATATTAATTCCGTCCCTTTAAGCCCCCCCCCCCCCAACTTAACACCTGTTGTATCAACATGACCATGACAGGTCACCTATTAATAATTCTTCCTGCGAAAATCCTAAACTTTAGTTATCTCTGAATCCTGACTTGGCTGTAGCATAACTTTTTTCAAATAAAATTATCACTTTTTGGTTGAATCTTACTCAAACTTCCTCTGCGTTATCAAAAATAATTCACACTCGGTGATTTACATGTTTTCTGAGCACTTTTTCCTCCTATGTACTTCAATAAATCTTATTGTCCAGTATGTTTTGACAAGAATCAGAGAGAAACTTGGAATTTGTTCACTTTCTGGGAGAAGTTTGTCTCAACGTTCAACCCTTTTGATCAGATGATAGCTCAACATTTAAAACTGACAATTATAGAAGTGGTTCACAATTATATATTTGAAAAAAAAATTAATAATGCAGTGTTTGGCATATTTGGGAAATGACTGTTTCTTTAAGCCACTATTTAAAGGAAACAATGTCTTTGCTTGAACGTAAATATCGATAACTGAGTTTAGGTGAATGGTTTTCTAAAATTATATTAATAGTGGGTTTAGGCAAGTTAAATACCAGTACTAGCAAACCTTGCTTCACTAGTTCATAAATTAAATTGAAATTCAGTTCATTAATGCAGTGAGTGTATCAACAGCTGCTGCTTTCTACCAATCAGGCAGGCCCTGCCATCATGTTTGGACCAATGAGAGAACAGGACTGATTCATGAATATAAAAATCATGAATATTCATGAGTCTTCAGTGTTGAATAATACGATATTACAGGTTTTGTGATTTTTATTTTCTTTTACAAGTCATCTGGGATGGAAAGCACACTGCAAAAATTTAACAGGTCTGCATTAGAAGTTTTTTGTTCTCTTTTACAAAACAAAGTAAGGCAGAAATCTTTACCTTTCGTGTTCCACATATAAATGCCAAAGTTTATGGACTATGGGTTGCGTAAGTAAGCACAGGAATAAAAACAACGAAAAAAAGAAGACGAATTTGAGGGTTATTCCAGGCTGGTTATTGTATAACGTACAAAGTAACACACAGGTGAAGTGGTTAAAGTTTGCTGGTCAGAAAATGTATGCAAAGTGTATGCAAATGTGTATGCAAAGCAGCTAAGAAAAGACACGCCCCTTCAACACAATGTCAAACCCCGTCCCAAAACGTGTTTCGATTAAAGCTTCATGCGGTTTGAGAAACACAGTGTGAAGTAATGTGGTAACTGAAGTCAAATGATAAGAACATGCAAAACAGTGTGGCCAATCATGCAGTACATCTTTAAGAACCAGAACAAAAAGTGCAAATTTATACACAAAGGTTTCAACAAGCCAAACCTTCACAAACAGGAAAACAGATCAAAAGCTGTCAATTTCGTTAACTACTTTTTTTTTCTTTTTTTCATCAAACTTGTTAACTTTTTTTTCGCAACATGATCAATCAATTAATGCACACATAATATGACACCTGTCACCACTTTGGAAAATGTCAGTGCTACTTCTCAAAGGCTATTTACAGAAGCAAAAAGTGTGACATACATTTGGGAGTTTGGGCATTGAAGGTATGTACAAAATGAAAAAAGGAAGAAAAGAAAATATCAGTATGTGGTCTTTCTTTGAGATCGTACCAAGAGAAAAAAAACATGTACAATGTGAGTTTAATACACAAAGGTCAATATATAATACGGCTTTGTCAATTTACCAACTTCAAACATATTTCAAGCACATCAAATTACCTGTGTTCATTAAGACAACTGTATACGTAAACTACATGTGAACACTGTGCTATATGTACAATGTACGGGTACATATGTACCCAGTATGTGCATGTACACCTTTCTCACTCTACCTTTCTCACTTACCAACATTTACATGTAAACTAATTTTTTTCTTTAATCTTTCTAGTAACCCTAGTTTTTTTTTTTCTCCCCCCCCCATTCTTTGTACACATAGTACCATACTTCAACACATTCGAATATCGATGCCATGCACATGGCTAGTACATGTACGGTACATATGTACGTGTACATCTTTTCAAACCATGGATGAAAAATACCAGAGAACAAAATTGAACAGTATCGTCCACGATTCCCAGTACACGTCCGCGATTGGGGTCGTGTACAAAACCTACGGGAGTCTTCCTAAAATGTTAGAGTACAAACAAAAGAGGGACAACAGGATGTCCACGATCGACGGTGAACACACGTTTGCGTGTGTATAGACCACATTGTGTATAAACCATACGTGTACAGACCATAGAGCTTTGTACAATAGCTCGCACAAAGTTGTTCCATTGAAGGGGGCCTTGTTAGTGTACAGTGAACCAGTGATCACCTCTCCTGAATTCACCCACAGACGATTCTGGGGCAAACCCATGTGGCCCCCTTCAATGGAGAAACCATTGTGCATGCTATTGTACAAAGCAAAATGCCCCGTGGCGGATTGTCTGAACAATAGCTAGCCTGATGCTTTCGCCACTGAAAGGGGGTCTTCGTGATAGAATTGATGGCATGAATTGATTGGTCTATGCCTGCTGAACTCAATCCATTAAATGCTACTCTCTAGCAGAATCAAATGCTGGATTGAGCAAAGTTCGGCAGGCTGAGATTAAGGTTCAAATCGGATAAAACTGGGAGAGCTGTGAGAATGTGTGACGTTTTGGAAATTTGGAAACCAAAATGGCAAACTTGGAACAAGAAACTCTGGAGAGCCGGCCCTAAAGAGATGCTCCAACGAATGAGCTGCATGTACACGGTACATGTACTAAATCTGCACAGCATGAAGGTGCTACATGTACGTAACACACAACAAGAAACCCACGGAACTTCATAACATGAACGGTACACAAATACACAGCTTTGTTACACGATCATGAACTACAAAGCTGACATTTCATACATTCTATACAAGTGCACACATAACGGGTAACATCCAGACAAAGCAAAACCATTCCACTCTGAGTGCATTCTCGCTTAAATCCAGCCCAACACCCCCATCCCTCCAAAACAAGTTTTCATTCTGACTGAAAAGTCACAAAATAAAAGAGAATTCAAAATGGCACAGAACTTTCTGCAAAGTGTTTGGATTAGAAGTACACAAACAAGGAAAGTTACAAGTAAAAAGAAACTCAATGAAATCAGAGCCAGGGAAACATTACATGCAGTGATGAGTTCTTATAAATTACGCATTTTTACCTGCCCAAAAATGCCCTCCGGATACTGTTTGTATTTTTAATGGATGCTGCCGCATGTTCTTCTCGGCCATCTCACAATAGTGGACATTATGTTATTAAAATTGGGTCGGTGAAGGCAAAAGCCTGCTAACAAAATTTGGATGTAGAACATTTTCATTTCAAAAATGAAAGTAGCTTGGAATTACAGTTGGTGCTTAGTCAAAACAAACTCACTTTTTGTCGTTAAACATGGAAATATGACAGGGAACAAGTAAATGTACACACAGGGGCATAGGGATCAGTTATGTGGACAATGTGTGAGTGCAACATAAACGTGGAAAAAATGTTGTTGTAATTATGAATCATTTCAGCGGCTCTCTCAAGACCCAAGACAATAGTTAGAAGGGCATTCAGGTGGCACTTTGTCATACATGAAGGTCCTACAATTTCAATGGCAACTGATGATCACAAAAAATTGGGTTTTTTTAGTTTTAGTACTGAAGATTATAGTGCTTGAAATCATCAATTAAATAACCTACAAAATGTAAGTGGATGGCTTTATTTAGCACGTGGTATGCCTCTTGAAGGTGGCCAGTCTTTACTTATTTCTCTGGTCATTATTTAATTAATTAATAAAAGGACAGATATATGTTAATGAAAGAAGCAGATAATTGGATGCAATACTCATATTGTGAAACCAACCACAAAAACCACTGATTTTAACCAAATGTCAAACAACCGCGACAGGCATTCATTCCGTCCCTTTTTCAAAAATCCCCCTCACGACAGCAAAGGAAAAGAGACAGAATGGGGAACCCAAGAGATGAATATTTTAAAATACATGCAGCAAGCTTCACAACACAAACACAATTCACTTGATGACATTGTTAGTTCAACATCCAACTCACTGATATATACATAAATATACACTCCAATACTCTGCCACTGGATTTTGGCTAGGGGGTGGCACCCCCCTTGGCAGAAGTGATATACGATGAACTAAGATCAAATCACCTGTCTCTCTTTCTCTTGTGTGACTTCTTCTTCTTCTCCTTGCGCACGGGGGAGGTACTCTCGGATCTGTTACGGGAAAAGTGGCAAAATGTGAGCTGGCTGAAACAAAAAAATAACTGAAGTCCGCCAAAAACATCAACAAGTAAAACCTAGACTAACAAAATGGGCACATTCATAAAAGTTTCATTTTCAAATTACTGTAACATTCCCAAATGTGAATTTACCCCAAAAAAAAAAACAACAAAAAGAAACCACCAAAAAATTGAGATATTCTGAGTCCCGATACAGAATTTTATTCAGTGAAAGTAGATATGTTGACTTTCTCACACAACTCATTAGTTTGGGAAGGAATGAATTGCTGAACATTATCTGACATGTGCTGGTGTGACTAGCAACAAACACTGCCAATGATGTTTTTCGCAGAAGTGATGTACATGTACATGTATGCACTCAGTGAGTTTAAGTCCGTGCACCTGTCAGCTTTGCTACATGTTCAATCAATCATCACACCCGGACTCTAGTTTCTGTGATACTTAATCTATACCCAATATATTCTGCCTGTTCACTTTCATATTGTTTTCTAGACTGTTTGTTTTTCTGGGCTCTTTTGACCAGTGTTGTAGTTGAATCCATCACAAGTCCCGGCCTGCAACTCCCTGCAAGTCCAGCACAAGTCCTCCAGTCCCAAATCAACTCACAAGCTAAACAAATGAGCTTTGAAAAAAAGGCATTCCTTTGTTATTGTTCATCCACTGTTACTTGTGACTGGACTCGTGACTGGACTTGTGATTTACTTGTGGCTGGACTTGTGATGGACTCGGCTACAGCACTGCTTTAAACTGGCACAAAATGCAAGGAGATTGACTATAAGTTCCTGTCATTTGTCTCTCAATTCTTGGTTGTTATTTTTTTTCAAACTCCAAAACCTGTTTTACGCTGGAATGAGCATGCAATCAGAGCAAAACCAAAGGGAGATTTTTGGTTCTCATGTAATGATTTCTATTCCATTCAGGAAGGGAACAAACTTTTAGCTCATCCATTCCTAATGACATACAGGTATAAAAATTAAACTTGAAAAAAGAAACCCACAACTGCCGTAAGGGTTTAACCACGGAATATGGTTTAACTCAAGTTGCATGAGTCTCAGCATGAACAGTACCATAGATGGTACTAGAAGACCGCTCATGGCAGCTGTGTGTGCGAGGGAAAAACGTGCGTAAATTTTATTCCGAATGTGCGCAAACCCATAGCAGCAGTAGTGCATGCAAGATTCTGCCTATAACTCTTTTTTTTGGTCAATGTTGAGGGGGTGCTTGTGCATTACGGTCTATTGCCTCCATCATCAGATACAATGTAGGTACACACAACACAAGTTTTGGGGTACTCGGGTACAGGAGTTGAGGAGTATACTGTCAAAAAAATCATAACCATCGGGGAAACACTTTGAAAGTGACTAGTCTTTGCATCAGCCCTGCTTGGACCAGCTACATGTTCATGGACAAGCAGGATTTATTGTCCTGGCGCTGTACCAGTCAGCAGTGTGAAAAAATAATGTTATTCTGCGACACCCGAGCTCGACCTCCGAACCATTCTCTAATTAATTTGCTAGGGGGCCAATTTCCAGACACGGATCAAATTCAAGCACGACTCTAACAAATTGAAAAAAATGGGGAGTAATCTGTAATCCCTATAAAGGGGACCCAGGGCTAATTTTCTGAGCGCTGATTTTTATGTCTGATATCGCTACAGCTACTCTGTGTATGTAGATGTCACGCCCCAACTACACCTACGTCCCAACTATAGTTGGGACTACTAAAAAAACGAAACCGAGATATTATTGCTAATTGGAACAGAAGTAGGGCACATGTGAATCAAAGGGAGATATCCTCTGTTAGGGTTAAATCTCCTCTTTAAAATGACACCCTGGTCATGTCCTTACATTCACGGTTGACTGAGCAGTGACCAATTTTATGAAAGGGTCTATTTAGAGACTTGCGCCACTTTTCATGGTGAAATCTCTCTTTTTTTTCCCACCTGCCTTGATTGGCAACCATAGCCTTTCACTCTCTGACAATTGACACAACAAAACCACAATTGAAAAGTTGTGCATGTCTCTAAATAGACCCTTTCATAAAATTGGTCACTGCTCAGTCAACCGAGAATGTAATGACATGACCAGGGTGTCATTTTAAAGAGGAGATTCAACACTAACAGAAGATATCTCCCTTTGATTCACATGTGCCCTACATGTGTACTTCTGTTGCAATTAGCAATAATATCTCGGTTTCGTTTGTTTGTTTTTCCACCCTGTATAGTTGGGATGAGACTTCCTTAACTATAACTGGGATGGTCCCAACTATATTTGGGTCCATTGCTATAGTTGGGGTGTAGCATATGCAATGTACATGTATGATGTGTATATAACAAAACATGTTTGGTTCTCCTAAAAATGGTAAGGAGTGCATATTCTACAAACAAACAAATCTACATGTACGTATGTGTCAAACTCGTTGATATTTGGTAGTAAGTAGCAAACAAACCTTTTGCTTTATCTACACTGATGCAGAACATACAAGCTCTGTACATGTGCATGTACATGTATGTTCTGCAAAAGAAAAGCAGAATGTACATACTAAGGGCAAAGCAACTGGCTTCTGGGTACAAGACTTCAAGATGCACTGGCTTAGTTCCTTCTCTAGAGTGATTCCTTTTTTTATGTGATTTTCTTTTTACAATTTCATCATTAAAAATCCTGTTGGTTTCCTGAAACATTTTTTAATTTTCATTATTTAAATGCTCCAAAATACATTGCCTCCTTCTCAAGATTTTTCACAGGTGATATTTCAAAGTGACCTGTGGCACGTGAGGAAAACGATGGTACGATTCGGTTTAATGGAATGTTGACTTTTCATCTGTTACAAAACAGCCTGGGGTAGAAACTGACCTGATAAAAGCCCCCCTCATCCCCTGCGTGCAACCCAACTCCAAACCACACACAACAAACAACTTATATGCTTACTTAGATTTTTTTTTCGTTCATGAAATCGACATCTTGTTGACACAAGCATACATTACCTGTCAAATTCTCCGTTTTTCCTTTTTTTGCTGGCAAAGTGCAAAACAAGTAATAAACCAAGAGAAGTTAAGTAAAAACGGTACATAAGTTCGGCTCTGCTGAAGTTAAGAACAAATTAATAACAACAGGTGCAAAAAATAAACTATGAAATTGGAACAAGAACTGAAATTTCTTCGATGGCCGAATATTATTACATGTTTGGGCCAGTAAACAAAAACTGGGCCAAACATTAAATTTGACAAAGAAATTAGGTCTTCTCTTTAACTGAAAGAGCCATTATAGCTCATTAAGGGAATTACGTTGATCGAGGCAAATCTGCACTTATAAGACTTCTGTAATGAAGGGTAGAACATAGAACATCAAAACATGCCCTCCCCTCCCCAAAAAAGCTCCCAATTTCATGTCTCTGCTACTAGCTTCTGCTAATTATAGCAGAAAAGTCTGCACTTACAATTCATGTGTCACACAAATTAGCGCTGAATTTAAGCATGTGGCTTGTGTATGTCAGAGTTGTAGTCGAGTACTTTCCGAGTAGCAGCTTAGCTACCAGAGATTATGATGGTTTGGTGTAAAGCAGACACTGGACAGTAAATCCCCACCGAAATAAATGAAAGACTTTAGAAAATGAGAATCTTGTACGAACTAAGCTTTTAGGACAATAGTATTCGGAAAATACTCACCGAGTACTTCTGTCCCAAAAGGTTAATTAAATGTGGTTTTAGGTAAACAAAATCTCAAATAATTTTTTTCGCTAACACTGACTTCATTTTGCTGTCTACTGTCAATATTTCTCTCGCGTTATTCACAAGAAACAGCTCAATACTTGCTAATACACAAAGTACTTGGAAAGTACTCGGAAAGTACTCGACTACAACTCTCTGATGTACGTTAGGGTAATATAAATGCATGTCTCAAAACTTAGAAGTCAGTGATTACGGAATTTTTGTGCAAGCGATGTGAGCACACAAATAATGTTTATCACAACTAGCAGAGCCATGAAATTTGTGCACTGATCTTCTACACACGCAAGAAAATATCTTGGTCAAGGTCCAACTTCTGCACCCATGCTGCAACCGGGGGCAATCATACATTCTCTCACTCACTGGCAGCAGGCCGAAGAAAAGGGCACTTCCCTTTACCATACGACATGAAACAAAAAAATCAATTAAGTTTCTATCTTGATTTGATTGCTGGTAGCTTTAATGGCCAGTGCCCACTGCGGAGCAGAGGGACGGCCTTAATGACTAACGATCCTTGGCCTGTGATTGATTAACGAGCTGTACGTGATGATTAAGTGAATCTTAATGGGGGACCACACGGACGAAAATAGGGACTAGAGAAAGCAAAACAGATACTTCTCTCAAACGAGGAAAATATTTAAGCACTCTTGGACTTTGAGTTGTGCTTTACAATGCATACAGCTGCGTGCCTGGGTTTGCACAGCATTAAACAACATACAGGGTCTAATTAATCTTAAAATTGAACACAGGAATTAGAAACGGTTGATTATGTTAAAATGATTGAGTAGTGTGGGGTTTTTTTTGGGGGGGGGGGTGGTGTTTTTTTTGGGGGGGGGGGGCAATTTCAGCTTCAGATGTACATCTACTGTACCGTTTGGTGGGCATTTTTCATACAGGTTAAGAACAATTGGCATCTCCAAGACCAAGATATTTGTGATTTGTTTTCCTCCTTCAAACCTAGGGATAAAACTTTGCACCAAAACCTTGCAAAATCTTATTAGGCTCTCTGAATACACTAAGCAATGAGAAAACATGTTTCAAGGATTAAACAAGATGTTCGGAGTGATGCAAATGGGGATGGAATTTTTTTCCCCAGATGGATTATTAAGTTAGTTAATGGATGAAAATAAACTGAGCAGATGCAAGAAAAGACATTCACGACGTTGTTCGTCCTCGCATTAGGTTTTTCCACAGCTTGCAGGCTTTTAGGGCTGAACTTTTTTTTTTCAGTTGTGTTTATGGACCTTGGACTTAAAACTGTAGGAATCATTTTATCGTTATTCACTGCTATTTACTTGAAGACCTGAACACTAAAAGCATTAGCACTAAAATGGTGTCAATGTTGACTGCTCACTTAAGCGCGAGCACAAATTTCACACTATCAAATGAGCAAGCCAAGACTACCCAAAGCATAAACACAGCACATATTTCAAAACTTTCTTTCTCACACTACTGGCTCCTTGCCAAAACTTCTCACTAGTCTTGATTCGAGGCTCCAGTTTGATGCTGTGTCCGAATCACTTGGCTACGGCTGGAAAGAACACGCACACCTATGGAAACCACTGGCTAGCAGCTGCATCCTTTTCTCCATAGACTCGTGTGTTATTTCTGGTCGCAGCGAAGTGATTCGGACACGGACTGATGTTGTTGTTCAATTTGGTTTCTTGCACACTTACGGTATGGCTTCTGACTACTTGCGTCCCTCGAACAAAGACATTGACAGGGCTCAGTTGGTAGAGCACCGGAACGGCAATCCAGAGGTTCAGACCCCGCTCCGGTCAATTTTTTTTGTTCAACTTTTTAAATTATTATAATGCACCTAGTGAGTATCCCTTGGTGGTATATTTTTTAAAGTTTTGGATTTTGGCAGATTCAGGAAGCAGTTAACGAAAGCATTTCCTAAGAAACCTTCCTGAATCCATCAAAATCCTTAACTGTGCAAGAAACCAGTGAAACAGTCTTTTTAACAGCCAATCGGCATCAAGCCCCATGTAAAGTGGCTGGACTCCACTTTCCATACTTCCCACAAAATCCTTCATAACCTCCCGTTGGATTTTGAAAGATCAGGGAGGAGAAGGGTTTACACGTATGCAGGTTAATCATGGATTTAAGGTAATTTGACATTTAACATTTGAAACAATATTTTGTACATGTATCTGGTTTGAATCTTAAAAATGTCTGCATGTAAATCATTATTTAAAATGGTAATGTAAGTTAGATTTGCTCCCTCTGGAAACCTACCGGCTGCGATGGCGCCCAGATCGTTTCTTCTTGTGTTTGGTCGGGGGTGGCGACGTGCTTGGCTCACGCAAGATACTGTCAAAGTAAATGAGAGAAACAAAAATCTACAGGTGAAACCTTGTTCATCAAAACCGCCAACAAGCAAAACAGCAGTGGATTGACATGTACTGGTAAGTCAGAAAATAAAGAACACATACTTGTCTCAAGGAAACTCAAGGAAAAGTCACAAACGTAAGATGTCATACAATAAGTAACTCCCTAGCTAGTCAGGGAGTCAGTCAGTTAGCCAGTCAGTCTGTCACTGACTCCCCTTAATAATCAGAAAACTACAGGCAAGCCCTACAGGTCCAGCAAAAATTTGATGGAATTTCACATGTATTTCCATCAAAAAGTTTAAGTAAAATTGTTTCCTGATACTGGTAGCATCTTACTAAAATTTCACCCTAATGCCGATCAATACTTCTCACACAAGAAAATTTTAAGCAAAGCAACTTTAATGACTTGAACAATTCCAGCTGTGCTGCAACATTTGTCTTGATCCTAATGAATTCAATTCATTATTTCCATACACTTGATGCATGACCTAGGGTTTTTATACAATGTACAAGGCAAAAACAAATATACACATCGGAATTCATAAGAAATGCCTCTGGAAATGTGGTTTTTCTCCAGTGTTTAATAATTGCACTCAAGTCAATCTGTTTGGACAAGGCCAAACGCCTGCGAGCAAAAGCATTTTGGTGGGAAAAGTGACAAGTCTGAATTGGATTAATTCAATTTCGAGTCCCGGTTGCCAGGGCAACTAATAGGTTTGTTTCCAGAGCCCACAGCGCCTGTATGCTCAACTTTTTTTTTTATTTCAGAGACAGGATTGTTTTCTAACAGGGCTCGAGGAGAAAGTTTCTGATTGGAAATCTCTTAACAAAACAAGTACCTGAGAAAATTAGTCTAGGTTGCATGTAGTTTTTCTATTTGAACACTTTTCAAACAAACGCTTTCAGAAGTGTGCGGGTATTTGTAGATATGGACATGTATGTATACATACCGGTATATAAATGTGTGTACATGCACAACTCAAGTAAGTGATATCATAATGCTGTATCACATGCATATATTTCAAAACCCAGTGAATTCCATGCCAAAAGACAGAGAACCCCGTCCATTTGGGCAAAAAAAAATTCTCAGCCTTCCCAGATCCTTAAAGGGATATATGTATATCGGTACAACATTTACAACATTTGCTTTTGCTGTAATTTTTAGGAATGGATGGATATGGGGGTGAATATTCAACAGGAAATATTGTTAAAATGACTAGTTTAAAGTTAAATTGTGCTCATACAGGTAGATGCTGGGGGAAAACCATGACAAAAAAATGACCCTTGGAAGTTGTGGTTTTGGGGATTTAATGTACAGGTAAGGATTGAGGTATCGTAGACTACAATGTACTATGTATATGTATTCATTTACACATACGTCATGAACTGTGCACTGCAATATTCTTGATATATTCAGTTTTCGAAGTACCAACATAAAAGTACATGTATTGGCATACTTCATGTCATGTACATGTATGTAATCTGTCAACAGCATTCTTCATACTTAAGTACATGATCAAGTATGCATTGATATTAGGACGTTAGTCACGACTCACGATTTTTCCCCCCACAACGAAAATCGGAGAACACATAGTACAGACAAGAAAGCACCATGAACACTTTAGCAGTGTTGGAATGATCGAGCAGCTAATCTTCTCCGACCGAACCGGCTTTGATTCGTCCTGATTAAAAAAAAAGACGCCAAAGTTGAGCAGAGCGAGAAGCTAATACCTATCACAGCTGAGGGATTAGGGTTGGAGGTGGCAGGAAGCTTGTCAGCAGTGTGCTGTACGTGGGATGGCGTGCAGGAGGATAAATGATGACACTCATTGATCATCGGCCGAGGATAGCATTACTTATTTGCTTGAGCTTTTGTGTCATGCCCAAGCAGTTTGAATTAACAAGGGATCAACTACGTGTGTGTCAATGGTGTACAATGTACGGTACTTCTGGGCAGAAACCAATGTTTTCCCCTGTTTTTGACTTTTAAAGATTATTAAAACCGTTCTGTGCTCAGTGACAATCTGTAGAGTGTTACCCTACATGTCAAACACTATCAGGTGACAGATTTTACCAAATCTGCAAACTGCCGTCTTATTGGTACAATTGACCATTTTAAAATGGCTGCTACACAAGCTGTACCTGTATTAGTGGTCTTACTATCTGCCAAACCACTGAAATAGGCTCTGACAGTTCTACAGTTGAATCCATAGGGATTTATGACAGTTGGAGAGCAGCCTGTACAAAAACTGTCAAGAGTGGTGGGAGTTAGAGTTTTTGACAGTTTGTGATAGTTATACATGTAAGTTCAGAAGGGTTAAACAAGTAAATGCAGCTTTTTTCCAAGGGTCACAGCCTTGTGGCATTCTCTTCCCAAACAGTTCATACCGTACTTCTTGCGAATGCGAAGCGAATGTGATGTCACAAAACATTCCCTGCGAAATTTGCCAGGGTTGACATGTGCATTCAACTTTTGTGAATTTGCAGCAGGATACACATTTCCTGATACACAATTTGCATTCGCGTTCACTTTTGCACCGAGAATGAACCGGCCTTATTAACAGTGGCAGAGCTAGTACCAAACGCAACCCCGCTACCTATGCATCCTCCAAATCTTCTTTAAAAAATTGGGGGTACTTGGATCGTACGGGTAAAGAAAATCAGAAGCCAAGCACTTTATTTTTTTACTTTATAGACAAAAAAAGGCTCAGGTTACATGACCTGCATTTTATCTGAGAGAAATGCCACGCCTATACAATGATGAATATTTCAATTATGCCTTTGTCGTGGCAATCGGCTTTTGTCGGTCATGCTCCGTCGACTCCACAAATCAAGACTCGGGCGCACTGCCAATCGGAAGATACATTGTACATGTAGCATTAAAAAAAAAATCTTCCAGATTTTGGGAGGCTGTAAATTGCAGAAAACCTCCGTCCCCGAGGGATTCCTTGTTTAATCAAGTCAGTATCAATGCCCATCAAAGCTACAAGGACAAGAGGATTTATAATCACTGCTGTACACAAAGGTCCGTAATTAAGGCAACACCTCCGAGCTATGTTTCTTTTCCACTAAGGATGATTAAGGATTTAGTATGTTTGCCAGGCTTTCAAGGACGCTCGTTTGTCACCTCGCGTCAAATGGATGTTGACGCGGTTTTATTGCAAGCCATATTTATCATTAGACCTTCAAGCTTGCTTGGACCATGGAGCTTGGACGAGCTGTCAAAATGAATAAATCTACATGGAGATTAAGTCTTTTCTAAAAGCTCTCTCATTGAGATGGATAATTTTCTAAAGATGAAATTCATCCTTTCAATTTATGAATATTTTATCAAAAAACAGAGGATGCATTGTGGATAAAACTATATTAGAGTTTGTCTCCTTGGAGACAGTTTTTAATAGAATATGAAAAACACATACTCTTTTCTCAAACATAAAAAAAACTTTGTTGGCATTTTTAATTTCTTCACAGAAATTTGCTGAAATACTTTACCTAGACAATTTTCACAATGTACATGTACCTTCATACAAAGTTCAACAAAATGTCTCTTAACGCGTATTAAATGTAAAATGTGACAAATAATTTACATGTACAAAGTAATAAAAATATTAAACACAAAGTACATTGTCCACATTTATGTTTAGCATGGTCAAAGCAAGACAGTTGACAGATACACCAGACCGGTAAGTGCGTAGTCCTATTGGGACTGAAGATTGAAAATCACACTAGCCAAACAAGTTGGTCAGACTCCAGCTCTGTTATGACAGCCAAGTCAATGACTATATCGCTATCGTCAGTCAGTAACAGGCTCACTTGTCCAATTAGGTTTTGGCCTGGATGGCCCGAGGGGGCCTCAAACCACTTGTCTAAAGTTGTCTTCTTGCACACACACATGGGCCCTGCGTGCCTTGTGTGTTGTGACCGATAATCATCATGTTCATCAAGACTGTTGGTCACGGCGTTTTCAGAGGATTAACCGGCTGTCATGAAACTTGTTCAATTTGGCAAATGCGGGGGAGGGGGGTAGGGGCCAAAAGGCCAGAGGTTTATTGATTAAAATCCTCCGCAGTTGAAACCCCAAGTGTGTATCAATAATTTTTTTGAAGGCACGTTTGAATGGATGGAGTTGTATATTTGTTTCCATTGCCTTATTTTGTAACATACCAAGGGGGCAAAATTAGAACCGGACACCGGACCTTTTTGAAATGTTTCCAATATTTGTCGATGACAAAAACAGATGTGCTGAAATAAATATTACACTGAAAAACTTGTCCAATTTTAAAATGTGTGGTGAAGGTCATGCGCTCCTTTCCATCCACTTCTCAATCCTAATCCAACCTCACAATTTCGCACAAATTAACAATGAATACACTTCTAATACCTTACGTCCAGAGTCTATTAATCACTTTGTCAGCCTGAATGAAAACAATCAAGCTCTGTTGACCAGACGTCCACGACAGCATGGATTAGTTTGCAATTAACCGGCCAAATCGCGCAGTCAAGTGGCTGCAATAACGGCTCGTTAAGCGGCCCAAACGGAAGGGAAACGATAAATCAATTCCGTCAAGAGTGCGAGATCCAATAAAACGGAGGACACACTGCAACAGTTGTACAGTTTGCAATGGTAATGCTCAGTTATTGTATACATCTAGTTGCTAAAATGTTCATGTGCTCATCAATAGTGTACTGCCGAGTATGTAGATGACAAAAGTGAAAACCTCCCATTCTTACAAGTACGACACTCTCAAAGCTGACATCTCGCTATCCACTAACAGCAATGTCCGAACGTTGCTAGTCAAATGATGGTCAGAACGTCATCTCGAAAAGTCTAGGTCCTGGCTCCCTGCTATGCATTGTGATGCATGCTATTACTGGTAACCAGTGATGCGACTCACTTCGGTAGGCTGGTCCTGAAGAGTCAACTAGACTAGTCCAAGTGTAGTTTACTAGCAGGGATAGATTGAGCGAAGATAGTACACTGTTCATTTAACATAGATATCACTTGAACTTGTTTGTTTGTATGTTTGTAATTATTCAGCTATTGGCCAGGATAGCCCACCAAAGTCCCTCAACTTATTTCCAGTGGGGTCCCTTGGTAGAAGATGTGGAAGGAAATTAAAGTTTTAGTGGGGGGAGGAAAGCCCCAAAATGATATTGTAGGGAAAACCCACGGAATCAGGTAGGGACTGAAAACCCCGATCCACATATTGGCCCAGGTCACAGCGGTGGAAGGCGAGGAAAGTACTGCTATGCCAACTTGCTCTAAGATGTCAAATGTCTCTAACACTCAGTGTTAGAGACAAAAGGAAGCGGGAAAACTGGGATGCAAATTAACTAAAGATAAAGGTGATGACATTACCAACGCTATCTCATTTATCCGTAAACCTACCAGCTTACACACAACTGCCCCGATCAAGTAAAAGCTCTAAAGTATGAAAATACCATACTCAGATGTGTGCACAAGCATAAGAGATGCACAAAATGTCTTTTTTGAAGAACAAAAAATCAAGCACTAGCGATCAGTCAACACTCAAAGTTTTCCCCACGGCACCAACACACTTCTTGTGAAATAGAAGACAGGTCCCAGACTACAATTACATGGACATTCTCGCACGCGACACCAGACTTCCTCTACACGTGCCTGCTGTGACGTGACATCAAACTTGTACAAACAGACACGAGGAAATAGAAAGCAACCCAGGCACACTGCAAAGACTTCTGCGTTCTCAAATAGCTTCAAGATATGTGCACACTGGAGCATTTTAATCAGGGTTTCATTGGTTGTGATTTAGGAAGTAAAAGTGCAAGTGTAGCGAACACGTTGACAATCAGATGCGCAGGGGCAAAAGTGTCTGCGATAAGTTTACAATCGTACAAATTGATCTTACAATGTAAAATGTTCTGCGCCATGAATACACCGGTACATGTTTATGTTTTCTTACTCTGAGCAAGACAAGTGCTTGAAATTACAAGAGAATTATCCACGCACTCCAACATGTCCAAAGAACATGTTGATGTACGTGCCTGAGTGTTTATGATACTAACCCCTGAAGGCATATGAGTATGGATGTCAGACAAAAATGACAGAACCTGCTGCGGTGACACTTTGATGTTCATCTGTGTGTCAAAATTACACGGGGATTGCCTGTGACAGGAACTCTGCATCATCTATAATACCTGGCTACTTACATTTGTACCCCCCCCCCCCAGATCTATACATTTGGGGTTTTGAGATCACTCTCCCCCCCCCCCCCCCCCCCATCTCCCTTTTTGCACAAAACAGATTCGTGACTACTGGATGGCTCAGAATCAATTTAAAGAACTAAAGGAAGTTACACACATCTATTGCGGTAATGCTTTGATGTCCGCCTCCATGTCAAATTACACGCAGATTGCCCACGACAGGAACTCCGCATCATCTAAAGTATCCAGCTACTTAACCATCTCCCAACCGCCCTCACTGCCAGGGGACAAAGACCTCCTGAGATCAGCTTTAAAAAGTCCCTTGTAAGTCAGTTTTGTAGACTACATATTGGGGGGAAAAGACTTACTCGTATTTCTTGGCCTGCATGGCGCGGGCTTCCGCTTCCCTGGCCCTGCGCTCCGAGTCAAAGGAGCTGCCGTCCACGTAGCCGTCTCCGATTCCGAACGCCTCCCTCAGCTTGGCGTTCTGTTTCTCCTTGGCCTCGGCGAGGTGGTGGGTCTCTGTCAGCCTGAAGTCAAAAAGATAAAGAAAACATTCCAAGAAGATGATGAGTAAAGAGCTAACTGTCATGCCTGGGTTGTTGGTTTTTTTTGGTGTCTCATGATGCATTGACTTGATGGCACGATAGTAGGCCAGGGGTCTCTTTACTCAGAATAAAATAAAACAGGTTCTAAACTCAGAATTGGGAGGAAATAAACAACTCAAAGGCATTAAGGATTCAGCCCTCTCCTGTAAACCAATTCTTGTTGCCCGAGAGTCCAGTCCTGAACACAGGCTAATTTACCCTGACATCATGGACACAGATCTCAGGCTCACTCCAAAATAATCGCATTATGAAATCTGTTTTGAGTGGGAAAAATCCAACTTTTATGAACAATTGCACCTCATGGACATACCGGTAGGTCTCAGGCTCACCCCAAAATAAACGCATTATGTATCTGTTTTGAGTGGGAAAATTCCAACTTTAAAATAAAATGTTCAATGTGTTTTTACAAGTCATGTGAAAAGTGAGTGATTATATCTCTCAACCCTAACCACCCCAACCCTTCAAAATCCAACTGCATGTTTTGTTGGAATCTGTTGGAGTGAGTACTGCACTAGTAAACTGATAATGCTCTACATGGGATCAGGCATACCACTATAGCCCAACAGTTTGGGTGTTGAGTTTACCACATGGTGTTGGATTTTGCAAGAGTGAGGAAGGTTCCTATTAAATCACTAAAGGGGGTCAGGTTTAATGTACATGTTTTCCCATATTTCCTTTGCCACGAATATTAAAATTGCAGATGAACACAATCATAACTTCAGCACATGTACTTGACAAAATTATTCCAAAAAGGCACAGCATCAATATTGTTTTGAAAATACAGTTTTGGGCACAATCCCAAAGCTGCAGAAACGGAAACTCAAAAGAACCGTTAAATTACACAGCCTTTATTTAATTTACTTCTAATGGAGTTTCAACTGACAAAGTCACAGCACATCACTCATTAAAAAGTTGAAAAATCGTTTTTCCTTGTCAACATCTGCAGCTCTCCAGGGATACTCTCCAGAGCAGAAGACCCATGTTGACAAATCGGTAAACCTCTAGAGAAGTGCATTACTTAATAGACACATGTAGGTATGGATCAAAAGTGACAAGCCCGAGGTATTATGAGGACAGTTTGTTCCCGTAGATTACATTAATGGCACACAGTCAGTGAATGACATGTATGCGCCGGTACACGTACACGTAGACGAGCGCAACTCAGAACAAATTTCAAAATGTACTTGTCACATACAGTATCCATTACAAACTCAAATCTCATTATAGCTCCCAAGAGAGAATGTCTATAGATGACATACTTCCAGGCCAAATTTCATGGAGCCGTTAAGGAGGAAAGATTGGTTAGCAGGTTTATATCAATAAGTAAAAAGCAGCTGACAACTATTCACAACTATGTAGTTTGCATGACGCTCTGCCTGATAACATTTTTGATAAGGCCGAAGAAAAACAAATTGTGTGTTACATTTATGTTAACCAGACCTATCTGGATTTTTTTTTGGGGGGGGGGGCAAATTGCCAACCTAAAATGTTTTGTTACCACATTTGGGCAAAAATGTTAACAAAATGTTTTTGAAAACAAGAATTCTTCTCTATGCAAGTTTGTGTGGGTGTGTTCATCTACATGTATTCAAACCATGGACGAAAAATTCCAGAGAACAAAAGAGAACAATATTGTCCACAATTTCCAGCATACATCCGTGATTGGGGTCGTGTACAAAACCTATGGGAGTCTTCCTAAAAAGTTTAGAGTACAAACAAAAGAGGGACAATAGGACGTCCACGATCGACGGTGTGAACGCGCTTGTCTGTGTGGGTGTGCGCATGTGGTCTTGTCATCCTTTATGACTGAGGACTTTGGACAAACAATAACCCCAAAGGTAGGCATTCATATACAAACCGTTTCGGAGAAGTACAAACAATAGGAATGAAAGAGGGGAAGAATAGGAGGTCCTCATAAGTATAGGATAACACGGCTGTGTGTGGCTGTGTTATAGTTAATTGAACAATGAAACAGGTTAATTACACAGAATACCATTGAAGGTACCCTAAGGTAAACAAATTTAAAGTATACATGACTGACAGACAAACATAAAGTTAAAAAATGTAATTATTTTCCTACCCACCTACCTGGATAATTTTTAGGGCAGTGCCAAAATTTGTTTTGACCTAAGCAAATATTTTCTGTGCATATATATAGCGAGTTTGTGCTAACTAGCTCCGTGAAAATATCAACATGAACGATCCACTTTAACAGCAAGTACCGGTACTTACGTGTGCGTAGAAGCTGAATATATCCGGAAAAAGGGTGGAAAAAAATCACGAAAAAAATCTCAAAAGACAACTCCGGAAAGAAACACTGAAGAGCACTACATGTGAGTGTACCGGTATGCCACACCATTCAGAAACTGTATCAACTCTCCTGTCATGCACGAACGGAGGGAAAACACGATTACTTCCGAAGAACGACGCTGAAGAAAAGACACTCGCATCGATTGCACCGCGGACCAAGTTCACACAGCTGCTGCAGGCAAGGTCACTGCTTGGCTTGCGAAAACCAACTACCGTCGAGAAATGGGTCCAATATAGGTCCAATTAGGGGACATAATTGGCCCAAATAATAAGGCCTCCGGGGTGGAATATTGCGGAGGTATACTTTTAGAGTTCAGAATTAGTGAAATCAACATTGATTTTTATTTTACTTACAACCAGGGCCCAATTTCATGGCTCTGCTAACCACAGCTTTCTGCGCTTAAGATCACAATTCTCTGCTTACACTAGCGCTAGAGGAAAAGTTCTACGCTAACCCTGTCAGCACACAATCCTTAGTCAATACGGGATCATACGCATGTCCATACATGTTAGCCATTCCTGGCTTACCATAAGCAAGGAATTTCCTGCTACAGTACCGGTAAGTAGTGATTTTTTTCGCTAACGGTAAGCAGAGCCGTGAAATTAGGCCCAGTGCATGGATGTGCACAAAATGTTTCTCACCATACACAGCGGCACCAGAAAGTCTTCAAATAAGACTTTATGTCAATGACTAATTTGTGATGATGCGTCTTGCCTACAACCATGACAACAATGTATATGTAGAATGTAATAAAGCATGACACAGTTACACAAGAGAATTGCAAACATAAAAGACAATATCTTGAGAAGCCTGACATCTGTCACAACCTCTAAATTTTCACATCCAGTGCCTTTCCCCTGAGAGCTATGAGTAAACAAGGATGCTCAGTATGTGAAATAAAGCTATACTACAGTGAACATGTCCCTCAAGTATACAGGGTGGTCCCCAAAAAAATGTCAAGACTTGATCACTAGGGGTGTATTACCACTTTTTTAGGCGCACATTTCTCAAAATTGTTTAAAATGTTTTTAAATATTCCTAAACTACAAGATCTTGGTGGTATTTGTATGGTGAAAATGGCGCTGAAAATAAAAGCCTAAATTAAGAAATGGCGGCCATTTACTGGAAAATGGTCAAAAACATATGTCCACACAACTGTATGAGATATGGTAGGGTCATCGTTAACTGCAGTTCATCTGTCATGTCTGTGCACTCAGTGCTATTGTTTTGACCATGTCTCATAGACTTGCGTTTAGACAAACTGGTTTTTGACCATTTTTCTGTGAAATAATGACCGCCATTTCTTAATTTAAGCTTTATTTTCAACGCCGTATTCACCATACCGGTACATGTACATCCACCAAGATCTTGTAGTTTTGGAATTTCTTAAAACAATTTCAACATGTCTCCCCAATTTTGACAAATGTGCGTCTGAAAAAGTGTAAACTTTGTTTGGGACCACCCTCTACACTACATGTGTCCAAGTACATGTATGCCCAACATATAACAAAATAGATAGTTTTACATTATAAAAATAAAACATACGTATTGAAAATAAACTGAAAATCAATTTGTAGAAGAGCATGGACAGTATATTTTAAATCACTCAAAACATACATCAATGCAATCAAAGTTAAAAGCATAAAACTGTCATTTCACCAATTGTCTCAGATGACAACACGGTGGTAGATTTTTCTGTAAAAACAAGCGCAGATGTACCTGTAGCCTGTAGGGCAAGATAACTCTTGAGAGAAACACCGCCGTGCCGCAGTCCTGACCGCCGCTGATTGTCCGTCCAGGATTTAGGGAGGACTCGATAACTTACGCTGCTTAAGACCATACCACTAATTGGATTCAGAGCTCAGGCCGGCCCACACGCGAGCCGTACAATACTGGGCAACACACGCCTCCTTCCAGATGCTGTCACTAAGTGCGTGTTAACATGTGTGCTTGCCGGCTTAGGGTTTAGGAATTTCTCTCTCTCTCTCTCTCTCTCTCTCTCTCAGCAGATTTAGGCATTACTTGGGCACGGCATGAGGAGGATGGAACGGATGTGGTTTGGTAAGCCTATGATCATTCTGGTGGTGAACTGAAAAAGGGCCATCTGCAAACACTGCCTGCCAGTGGGTGTTTTGGAACATCAGCTTAATTCCAGCTTTGACTCAAGATTGTATTGTATCGGCTCTCACTTTGGGCATTCCAGCTCAATACGAGTCCACAGTCTGCTTCAGGAACGTCAAATCCTACATTTATACTATGAGATCATCTGAAATTGATTTGGTTTGCTTCTTAAATGATTTCGAGGCAAGTGATGAAGCCCAGACTCCAGATAGATCCTAGGTTTCAAAAACCCCTGTTGGCCATAGATGCAGTTGTGATTTTGACTGTAATGCTCTTGATCGTTGCAGGAGGCAAAGTTTTCCTCTTTTTTTTTTTTTTACAATTTGTTAACATTTCAAGATGCTAACTCATTAGGCCGAGTGAACTACAAGATCCAAATGGCAGGTGAATACAAATATTCTAAGCTTTCCCTCAAGCGTCTGCATTAGTGGATTTAAGTTTGATTTCAAAATCTTCCCACACAGATCCCGGAGAGAAGATGAGCTTTAGG